CTATTTTAGTAACCACGGCAACACCGTTCATCGAAATCAAAAACCGATAAAGAGAATTATGTGTCTTAGTGAGTCTACTTGTGTGCCAAGTTATATTGAAATCAGACCAAAACTGTAGGAGGAGTACCATTTTGAATGGTTTTTTTTTAAATTCTATTTTTAGTAACAATTGCAACACCGTTCATCGAAATCAGAAACAGATAAACAGAATTATGTATCTTAGTGTAGTCTACTTGTGTGCCAATTATATTGAATTCAGATCAAAACTGTAGGAGGAGTAGCATTTTGAATGATTTTCACAGAAATTTCTATTTTCAGTAACCATGGCAACACAGCTCATCGAAATGAAAAACCGTTAAACAGAATTATGTATCTTATTGTAGTCTACTTGTGTGCCAATTATATTGAATTCAGATCAAAACTGTAGGAGGAGTAGCATTTTGAATGATTTTCCCAGAAATTTCTATTTTTAGTAACCACGGCAACACCGTTCATCGAAATCAAAAACCGATACACAGAATTATGGGCTAATTGTATTTGGCGCGTCGGCGCGCTCGCGCAACAGATTTTGTTTATAAAATTTATCGCTTATATGTATCGGGCCCGATATTTTATTTGATATTCCTCTTCTAATCAAAGAACTGTAAGTACTGATAGGAGTTGATTTTGATGACGGTTTCGATAAAATTTAATGTTTGACATTTTATTCACAATTTTTTCAAATTATGTTCGTTTATGCTTCATACATGTTCATAAAGAAGTTTGTGAGAAATTAATAAAAAAGAAATGACACGATTCTACAGAGTCAAAAAGGTAAGATTTGTTTTGATTGCACTATAACATTAGAATGATATGTGTAAGGCTTTTTCTCTGTTCAGTTTTTCAATAAATTAGTGAGGTAGTATTTTTCTGACCAAGAGTTTATTTAAAAGGGCTATTTTAGCAAAGCAATTTCTGTATCTAAAGCTAACCCCCATCCTGTAATAAAGTCAAGTTAATTTTTAGTAGTATTTAGTATTATTTTTAAACGTAACAAGGTATCTTTTTTAAACACTGATACCAATGCATGGCAGCTTATTATCATGAACATCAAGTCTTTAAAAAGGAGGTTACACTCAAGAATCTATGGGGATAACGCAGTACTGGTAAATTTTGATTTATCACATTGGCCTGGGAAGCAAATTGGAAGTGTGTGTGGAGGGAGGTAAATGTAAGAAAAAAAATTCGAACCTGAAAATTCTCAACAAAATTCCAAGATTGTTAAAACTCAAAAATCCTTTTTCGTGGGGGGGGGGGGTCGAACTTATTACAGTATTTTTTATTTATTTTTGTTTTAAACACTACCACTTACCCTTCTTCGACTACTCTGCAACGTTCCTGTTGAAGGTGGAAGGGGGGGGGGGCTACGCCCCAATGTTTAATACAGGTCTATATGATGTCTATCTTTGTAAGCCTAATCCCACTCTCCCGGTTCCGACGCCTGTGTGTAGTACATAAAGTAAATACAGTGTATATAAAAACCGAGAGAGGGAGGGAGAGAGAGAGATTGAAAGTAGGCCAACTCAAAAAATGCGGTAAATTTCGGATTACTCTTATACAAATTGTGGTAAGACGTGAATGGATTAAAGGGGATCCCGATCCCTGGAAAGTTCATATTTAAACTGACATTATAAATATTACTAACGCTATGTCTCGGACCTCTTACCCTTGCGATTTGAGCCACCACCAACTATCGAAAATTTTCTGGATCCACCTAACAAAAGAATTACAATCGGGCTCGGGCTGTCGACTCGAATATAAGCGATAATGCTAAATTAAAAAGAAAATCGCTGTCATTAGAGTGTTTTAAAGCAGGGAGAAAATACTTATGTGATATTAGGATGAGATGGACGCGCTGGCGCGCCGACGCGCCGAATACAATTAGCCGAATTATGTATCTTTGTGTAGTTTACTTGTGTGCCAAGTTATATTGAAATCAGACCAAAACTGTAGGAGGAGTAGCATTTTGAAAAATTGTTTACAGACAGACAGACGGACGGACGCCGGACGCATTACTATCGCATAAGCTCTTCTGGTCACTGACCAGTAGAGCTAAAAATTAAGAAAACAATTACTATTTGAATTAATTATGACGTTATATTTGACATCACTGAAAAACAGATAATTTCATCCTTTATGTGGAATTTAATGAAAGGCAATCATCAGGAATTCCGATACTACTTTATCAGAGCATGTCTCCAGTCCCTGTGATTGTTGCAATGCATGAAAGTAAGGTTTACAGTATGCAAAGAACTTACTAACAGCAGTATAAAGTGGAAGATAAATAAATCTGTAAATTTTTATAGCTATTAATGGAAGAATTAATACATGATCAAAGATAAAGAAAAAAAGAAAAAGACACCTAAAACACACGAAAACATTTTGAATGTTACTAAAGAGGCATTGTTCCAGAGACTTACATGAAATCCTTTTGTTAAATTACTGAGTTTGTAAACAGATTGAGTAAATAAAGAGTAGATCAGATGCTGAGATATGTTTTGAATCTTAAACCTTTTATGGACTGGTTAGAACAAATGTTTGGAGGACCATTCAACTATTTTAAATCCATTTAATTGGACACCCTTACACACCTGACTTAACACTCTTGATATATTGGTGCATGGTATAGGCTAAAACACCAGTAAAGTGTCATCAATCGAAACAGTTGCATGTTTTCTGAAACACCCTGATATGTGAAATGAAATACTTGACCGTAATGAAAATATCTCGTAAAAATGTTAAACAAATTAATAAGGACATTTTAAAATTTTAAAAACGCTAGCAATGATTAAAAAATGTAGGTTATTAATTCATTATTTTTATATCTAGGGATACGTATTATAATTGCATAATGATACAAAAAAAAATTTCGACTGATTAAAAAAAAAAAAAAAAAAAAAAAAAAAAAAACAACAACAACAACAACAACAACAACAACAACAACAACAACAACAACAACAACAACAACAACAACAACAACATATTCTTGGTTAGGAAAAATTAAATCACTGCCCTAATCCACATACGAACAATTTCATTACAAAATACTAAAAACACCACATAAATGTTTAAAAGAATAATAAATGTAGCTAAGTTACATCAAACGAAAGATGCACATTATTTCTTTTATAGACCTAAGAAATATCAACGCGCAAGAATTCACTTTTCTTGGAAGTTCACAGTCAGTCTGAATATGTCTTATAATATAATAGTCGTTTATTATGATGTTATTTCAAAAATAAGCACCACGAATGTTAAATTATAGGAAAGATAACTTTTCCATTGAGATTTCTTTTACTAATTAAAAGATAACAAATTCATCCGTCTGGAATTTCAGAATCTCTATCTTCGCACACAAAAGGGAGATAAAGTCCATTTTTATCCGTAAAATACGAATAATTCCTTTCCGGAATCCACCTCCATCGTTTTCTTTTGACGTCATATGACAGAAGAAGTCCGAATTTCCTATCTACAACATTATACGTCAGGTCCTCAATCCAGTTGTCATACGTCACAATGGTGCCGTCATCAAACGCCAGCACGTCGCCATATTTATCTAAGATGTGGAGGATATTGACGCGGAACACCACTGTTCCGTTTAAATCGTGTTCTGTAAAAAAAAGTCGTGATCTTTACAATAGAAAATACTTAAAAGATACACTTTAGAATAGGTTAATGTAGGGTTTGATCAGAAAACATATACATGTATAGATTTTAGAAATATATAGACATATACCTTAATTAAAGCCACACATACCATTTTTATGCATGATATGTATACAGAGACAAAAGTTACCTTAATTAAAGCCACACATACCATTTTTATGCATGATATGTATACAGAGACAAAAGTTAAGTATTTTGTGTAGATTAGAAAGTCCTTGTTCACTTTTGTAAGTACTCTCTGCTTTTGTGTTTAGGCCTATGTATTCTGAAGCTAATCTTTATTTCTGTAACTGAATCGGGATCGACATCCTTGTTTCACCCGTAACTTACCCGGATGTATTCTGCTGACGTTAAGATGGAGGCCATAACTGTCTCCATACCACACCATCAGCTCAGAACCCGGATGTACTTCCTTTATTGTCATGTAGAAAATCAGGCCAGCACAAGGTACCGCCTGTGCATTTTCTTCTTTGTAGTTACGTGGAGAATTAACATAACGCAACCAATTACTGCTGTCAAGTGGCATGGCGTCTATGACGTAAGTTCCGTTTCCTTGTAATTTTTCAACCTTGAAAATCCAAGAGAGTAGTTTTAATGATTACGTAATGAAGAAAAGGCTGAAGCAAGCTTTAACGCATATTGTCCATTGAAAAAAAAGTGTTACGACAATAGTTGTATGGTAAAACAACGTTTATGCAGCTTGAAAATCATGAAAAACTATGAAAATTCATCGGCTAAAGAAACATTCAACATGACAAATTCGGAGAAATGAAATGGTTTGCAGTATCTAAAACAAAGTCGCTAATCAGCAACTTTTCTCTTGCTAAAAGAAATCTAATGTGTGTTTGAGGGGGGTGGTCGGAATGAGTGCAACCTAAATGTTTCGACCGTGTGGCGCAGTGGTAGAACATCTGCTCCAGAGCCGAGAGGTAAGGAGTTGATCCTTACGTTGGGGGTTCTAATCCCACTGTTGGACATGGAGACCGATCCTTTAAATGCGACCGTATAAACTGAAGACGTGTTGCAGTAAATACTGGTACGAAAAACATCCCTTACTGCTCAATTTCACTAAGTGTCGAGCATAGGGCACAATTTGCTGCCTCTCCACCGGCAAGTGGTGGCATCTCAATATGAGTGAAAAATTCTCGGGAGGGACGTTAATCAACAGACAGACAAACAAACAACTAGATTTGTATGAACTTACCACCCAGGAGTACGGGTCCTTATCGCTGACGTCTGTCCTCACTAGTCCTTCGTACGACCCCAGGATCGTGTATTTAGACAGTGGGATGTGGGTCCACGCCCCCATACCGGCCCCGGGGATGGAGGACAGTGCGACCTTGAATCCATCAGGGGTTGTCAGGTTGGCTCGGTCCTCGGGTCGTGACCCTAAAGGAATCTAGAGGATACACATCACATGGATACAGATATTTACTATGTTTTAAATATCTTTTATGAAAGATGCATGTATAGTGTTATGTTTGTAAGGTGAATTAAGTACTCTGTGGTTTTCAGTCAAATAAATGCAGGAAAGAATGGTAAACTTTATTTGCTTTGCTAGTGGGTCTTAAAGTAGGTTTCTCACAAGTTTTCAGTAATAACAGAAACTTCGGGATGCCGATCATAAAAAGGAGCAAAGTGCAACGTCGGCAGGTAAGGTTTACTCCTCCATGACACCTAATTGAGGTTCCGTTGTTTAAGAGGCCCGTTGTTGCTTTGCCCCAATTTGTATAGCATAAATCATGCTTTTGAAACACGAAGCTGTTTCAGATCCATATCATTCATGTGGAAGGCGGAGGTGACTTATTAATGTGTACGTAGTTTAGTCGTCCTTCAACATGCATTCACAGTTTGACCATTTGTAATTTTTTTCGACGTGGTTTTCTTTTCATTTACAGTTTGACCCTTTGTAATTTTTTTTCCGACTGGTTTTCTTTTTCTTTTCTTTTTTTTTTTACATACATAATGATGAAGTTTGATAATCTATGTTACGCTACCTTGTGATACACAAACGTTACAAAACGAGTTAATGTGACATTGTGTTTTTATATAATTTCCTTATATCACCTCGGTTTTAAAAAGTCTAATTTTTCCATTTAAACTTTAACCGTTTTTTTAATCTTACCTCATTGTTTATGAAGTGCTTATATGTTTTGCTTTCCCTGCCATACATCATGTAATCCTCACAAACTAGAAAAACAAAAATTTCATTCTGGCATTTGTATTGGTTTCATTAGATCTAAATAAGAGATGTGACAATTTTATATTGATCCTCTCTTAAGCTATAATTTCTTTAAATCACCCACTTTTAATCAGTTTGGCCTTCCATTCTAAATATGTAAATTTAAAATTGTATCTTTTCCTTTAAATTGAATCTAGTTGACTTTGAAAAATTATTTTTGTTTCACTTTCAGTTTGTATTCTACTTTCACTTTCAGTTTGTACACTACTTTCACTTTCAGTTTATTTAGAATGACTTACACTTGTCCATTTCATCGTCTCCATTCATAATGACCTCTAGATCTTTATACAGGTTCTGACAGAAGACAAAGCAAATGTAAGTATAATTCATATTACAAGAAGGATATGGAGATAACGAACAGTATTCAATATCAAAGTCCATAAAACAATACAAAATAGGAGCAGAGTATACATGGACCTCCGAAACATCAGAGGTAGGATCAGTTGTTATGGAGGAGTAAGCATCCCCTGCTGACCGGTCACATCCGCCGTGTGCTCATTGTCATGATCATGAAATAGAGGATAAACCCGTCGTCAATTCAGTGTATGAATAATGGATAAACAATTATAATACATTAGTTAAAAGGCACAGAATACTGAGAAATGCTAGTACATGTACTGTGAACTACAGTTCGAAAAATTACGAAAAAATAATGAATCTAGCTAATACTTCCAAGAAGAATCATATCACTTGTTTGAGAAGTAACCATGAATGTATTCAAATGAAGCTGATCGTTCTAGAGCATAGCTGGTAGTTATACCTTTACAGTTTTTTTCATGTTTCGGATGAAATAACAATGGCATTCTATAAAAGTATCTGTTATGGTGTTTAGAAGTCGATTTTTGCTCTGCTCCTATTTTGTATTTTTTCGTAGACGTTTGAGCTTGAGTTCTGTTTGTTATCTCCTCATCTCCTACATATTTCAAACATAAGATGGCGGCCCGCGTCGATCATTGGTGGATCCTCGTTTGCTCTAGATAGAATTTTTTTTAATCCTACTGTGGACCAAGGTCGTAGGTAATGGTACTTCACATCTCAATGGCCCTGAGTGTCGAGTAAAGGTCAAAATTTGCAGCTATTTCACGGCTAGTGGTGGCCCCCATATGAATGAAAAAATTTCGAGAGGGACCTTTGAAAGCAATTTAACTAACAAAAAGTACACATGATTTGCTTTCTCTCTCTCTAGACCCATGTCTTTCTATTTTCTTTCTTTCCATGTCTTCCCCGCCCCCTTGTATATCATAACCTACATTCTATCTATGATCCTTTTTTCAATCAAAGACCCTTTTAATATATATTTTTAAGCCACTGTATAAAAACACATTTCTTACCAGTCTTTGGTCCGTCATAACAAGAAGCTCGTTCTCTAAAAAAAGAGGATTAAACATACTTCATGGTTCGTGCTGACGATTTGACGATCTCATTTAGTCACATATATTTTAGCTCACCTGCAAGTGCATCTTACATTACGTTGTTTGAATAATACTTTTCAAGGCTTCTTTAATGAATAAAAATCACAGTTTTCAATTTATTTCTGGATTATAAATTTTCCTTTAGTTTTTACTATGATTATTCTTTTCTAAAAATAGATTTATGTTAAACGTTACCGCTTTGTTTATCTAACATTTATCAAGGTTTTGAGTTTATTTAACGGCATGCATACATACCCACAATATACATTTGTATGACGTCATGAATACATACACACAATATATGACGTCATGAATAAATACCTACAATATAGGACGTCATGAATACATACCTAAAATATATGACGTCATGCATACATACCCACAATATATGACGTCAACGCTTTTTCCTTTTCTGCGCTGCCAATCACGACCATGGATCCGCCCAGTTGCTGACAAACTGCCACACTGTTGTTCATAGTATCGGGTTCTGTGTGTACTAAGAAGCACCACCTTCCAACTCTGACAAAACCGGACTTACATGGTGCGCATACGCAATAACCTTTGTATTAAAAAAAAATTTGTTAATTAAAACTGGGCTTTCATAATGCGCATGCGCCATAACCTATGAGAGAAAAAAGAGGTCAAATAAAACCAGGCTTACGTAGTCCGCATGCGCCATAACCTTTGGGTGAAAAGAGTGGGAAATTAAAAACCAGGCTCACATAATGCGCTTGCGCCATAACCTTTGAGGGAAAAAGCGGTAAAACCTATTTTTCGTGTTATAGCTTTGGTAAATGGAAAAAGTAATGTCTTTTAAATATTTCAGTATACTTAACGTGTCTCCACGTTTCTTTTTGTTGGTTTATTGGGGTATATATATGAATCGAGATATTGCAGGTTAATTCTCATATATATACCTGCTTTAAAAAAACTATTTTCAAATGCCAAGTAAATCAGGTATCTATTGTATATCAGTAATAATCAGCATTTCTTTTGAAATTGTAAATTACTGGAAAATTGACATCCATAAATTCTACAAAACTACGAAAATCTACACACGAATATAACGTTTATTTGATATTAAACACTCGTTTTTATTTGTTACTCAACTTCTAATTGTATGTCAACAGAAGTATAAGGTTTGTAACTTAGCTTAAAGAGACTTGGTGGCCATTTTTAGACTATTTTGATCTCCATTAGAAGAAGAGCTCCATATAAAGATATAATAAAATGATCAAATTTTAAAACTAAAACTGATGAAATTTTTCTTTTCCAATGATAGTTGACGGCTCAAGATATCATATATAAAACAAAAAATAAGTTATATCTGGTGGTTAATAAAAAAAATAATTTGTTGACCCCTAGCCTCCTTAATGGACACATAAATATATAAACTGCTCAGACCCACCTAGTTTTAGATTGATCATACCTATTTTGAACTTGCTTTGCTCATCAATCAGAAAATGCATACCAATTCATACCATTAAAAGTGCACATTATATTATTTTAGTGCATTAATTATTTTAGAAATGTCTTTCCTTTGTCAGTGTCGTTATAAATGATATGGCGTTAGATTAATACGCAAGTTTCGAGATTATCTCCCTTGGTGCGCTCTTTCGTTGAGGAGGGGAGTTTCGTTGCCGCGTAAACAAACAGGTGGGACAGATATTTGATACTGTGTATGTTGGATACATTGCATCATCGATATACCGGTTTATCATAGCTACACGATTGTCAGGATGCACTCTGCAGCTTGAGAATAATCAAATTAAAGTAAAGGCATCATTTTTGCATTAAAAATATCGAAACAAAAAAGAAAATATCAGTGGATGTGAGGCTTTTCGGACGAGGGAAGAGATATGGACCTCTTATAAATACGATACACATGCATCTGGTCATTGCACGTCGTGAATCTAAATTACATATTGATTCTTTTCCTTATTTTAACTTAAAAACACTTACTTTTTAGAAAATGTTCGTACAATGAAAAAAATCTGTTACTTTTTATAAAGACTATGACGTTTTTTCGTTTTCAAGTACCCGAAAATTCATAGTAGAATTGTAAAAATGCATAGTTGAGCTTGATAATATCATCAAATGCATCACTGCATAACATTATTATCTTTCTATAACATTTAATTAATTTTAAAAGCCATAAATATCGTTCTTTTATTTATGCACTTTTGTATACAGAGACAACCTGTCCCACCTCCATGCTGAAATGGGTACTTTTTGCGCCTCTATCGTAGGAGAGTTACAATCTCGAAACTGGCGTATTGAAACTTACCTCTTATGAATGTAACATTTATAGAATGACTCTTATTCTTGGCCAAATTAAGGAATATAATCCAGTTTGGGTCAGTTTACGCTTTATAATCCGCAAAACTGACCCAAACCAGATTATACTTGATAATTTGGCCAAGAATTAGAGTCATTCCTTATAATCTAATTTTAAAATAATTAAACAACTTTGGATGTAAAATTATGTTGCTTTTTATCAGTTCAAATTTACTGCGCAATAATGCAACCATAATAGTGGAAGTGATGGAAAGCAAGGGGAGGTAATAACTGATACATAGATCTAGCAGCCATGATGTTTGTTTACATGAGGTAAGATCAAGTAACTGTTTGAAGTAAAAGGTACATTTATTAAATCTGGAATGTTCCATGGATTCCGAGGACTGGTACTAAGGAGATTCGCTAACTTGTTATCAATTTCCGCCAAATATCGTACACGCAAAATATTATACATTTACAGTCCTATGTATAGATATTCAGAATGTAGTGGTATTGTAGTTCAAAATAAGAGCAACTGCAAAAGTACTCACCAATAAAACAAAGTTGTATCAAGAAAACCAAACAAAACGCTCTCTCGGCCAGAAATCTTCCACCCTGAAGGGAAAACATACCGGATTTCATTGGTTTAACGATGCGCTCGTCCTGTAAAGAAATACAGATATTACTGCCTTATTATGATAGACATTGAATATCAACTGATCCTTTGAAGATTGGTAAAGAATACCTTAAAACATACTTTGCGACAGTTACATTTGTACTACCATATTAGAATATCAAGATTCCCTTCAATAAGATTGTTTGTTTGTTTGTAATGTTTAACGTCCTTCTAGAGAATGTTCAACTCATACGGAGATGCTACCACTTGCGATGGAGAGCGGTAAATTTTGACATATACTGGGCACTTAAAGCCATTGAGCAATCAGAATCTTTTTGTGCAAGAATCGACTGCGACACGGAACATCGGTTTATATGGTATCATGCGAGGGACCGGTCTCCACGCACCACAGTGTAATTCGAACCCGTGACGTAAAGATCGACTCCATATTCCGCAACTCCAATGCAGATGCAATAACCATTGTATGTTCTAACCACTGTATGCTCTAACCAATGTATGCTCTAACCACTGTTTGCTATAACCACTGTATGCTATAACCACTGTATGCTCTAACCACTTTATGCTCTAACCACTGTTTGCTCTAACCACTGTATGTTCTAACCACTGTGTGCTCTAACCACTGTATGCTCTAACCACTGTATGCTATAACCACTGTATGCTATAACCACTGTATGCTCTAACCACTGTATGCTCTAACCAATGTATGCTATAACCACTGTATGCTCTAACCACTGTATGCTATAACAAATGTATGCTCTAACCACTGTATGCTATAACCACTGTATGCTATAACCACTGTATGCTCTAACCACTGTATGCTATAACCACTATATGCACAAACCACTGTATGCTCAAACCAATGTATGCTATAACCACTGTATGCTCTAACCACTGTATGCTATAACCAATGTATGCTATAACCACTGTATGCTATAACCAATGTATGCTCTAACCACTGTATGTTCTAACCACGGTATGCTCTAACCACTGTATGCTTTAACCAATGTATGCTCTAACCACTGTATTCTATAACCACTGTATTCTATAACCACTGTATGCTCTAACCACTGTATGCTCTAACCACTGTATGCTCAGACCACTGTATGCTATAACCACTGCCCCATCAATAAGATGGCTGGTTGGGTGAGATATCATTGTAATAGAGATATTTCAATACATGTATTTACATATTAAAATGAAGAAACCTAGGAGACTGATACTATATACAGTATTGAGTAATATCTGCAAGCCTCTGTATTTTCTATAAACCCTTCTCCATCTTGATAAAACCCTGTTACTTCGTTTTAAGCATGTTTTACTGTAATTATAATGGGTCCCTCTACCTTCTGACAAAAGCCTTTTATAAATGGACCCTTTCCCCTCTACACCCTTGTTTTAGTAAATATACAACCAAAAAAAGAAAGGCATATTGTTTTACTCATCAAAGAAATTTGAAAAAGTACTGAGTATATGGAACAGCTATCTTTTTTATCATTGGATACCTACATGTATGACCTATTTAAAGTACAACATGGGCTTTTAAACCCAAATTGTGGAGTTATTTCCTTTGATTAATCATGTTTATGAAAATTCTGTTTTACATGATTTCTTTTAAGTCTTGTAAATCGCGGGTCTATTTTCAATGAAATTTTTTATTTAGAAAAAAAGATAAACACTCCAAATAAACCTACTTTTATATTTATGCTTTGATTGCAATGTTGATGCTGCAATGCCACGCCTAAGCAAAGATGAACGCAACAAAGCTCTAACAATGATACTAACTGGCGCTTCGCAACAAGAATTTTCAACTGCATTTGTTGTACCTCAATCGGCTTTGCAGCACGTCTCCACCAACTATGAACACGGATGACAGGTCAAGAACTGACTGTCAACGGGATACCACATCTAGACAGGGCCGTCAGATACTCCTTCAGCACCTACGCAATCGACCCAGAACTGCTGTACATACTGCCGAAATAAGCTTAAAGTGCACAATTTTTTTCGTGACAGACTGAGAGGAGTTGTTATTCGTGCACGACGTCCGTACATTGGAAATCCACTAGCACTGAGAGGTCGCAAAGGACTTATGGATTGGTTAAGACGTATGCCTCTAGAACATAGAGGAGACGTCAATGATATTAACTTAACTTGTCAATTTGGAACATGTTTGATTTTATGATCATAACACTCACTAAAGTCATTTTTAAAAATTAAGGTTTGAATTGAAAACTTAGATTAGTCATGTTTTATCTGAATATGCGTTTCTTTTTTTTTGTTATTTTTTGTTTATTTTTTTGTTTATTTTTTTTTTTTGGAGTATAGATTCATTTAAACACGCGATAGCGCTACGTTTGTAAATAAGACCAATCTATATAGAATAGAGACGGCCATCTGTACAAGAAGCGAACATGCATGTCTGATGTAATGTAATGTAAAATGATAGAATGGACAGGGAAGTTGAATTTCTGATTAATTGAGACAGAAATGGAGGCAGGCTACATACTTTATAATCAGGTTTGTTCAAAGTACCGAACTGGATCAATTTCACTTCTTTATATACAAGAGTTCTCTTGGACCACGAAAATCATCATTGCAGTTAAAATCTGTATACCTGATATTTGTACAGATCTCAGATTCGTTCATGCTGAACATATTTAGCATTTGTCTTAATTGACAATGTACATTGAACTGAACAATTCTGTCGCACCCAATTTTCTAAAAAATTCCTAAATCACGGCGCGTATATTGTGTAAGGGTTAATGTGCGAGTAGCACTCCATTCGATACTCTCGCCCCCGGTGAAAGACTCGACGTAGGCGTCCCAGGTTAATGTAAAGGTTTTTGGAGCAGATTTAATTTCTGTTTTTAATTACTTCTATGACCTATATTGATAAGTCACGCATGATAGATGCTTCTAGTGTGTTTCATTGTACCAGTCAAAGATTCAGATGCTGCAATTTCAGCAGAGGAATGACAAGGTTAAAGTTTTTTTGAGCAATTTAACACTTTTGGTGCAAATTTTGGTTTAGGTCTCAGTTCAAAGTAGCTATATTCCCTAGGTTGACCAAAACTGCATGGGTGATACATCTAAGAATGCACATTACCAGGCTTGCTTCGGATGTTGAATTTGACCTACATTTTCCGGATGATTGGTAAGGTCAATGTGTTTTGTGAAGGTCTCATTTTCAAGTAACTATGAGTCCTAATTTGGCTAAAATTGCATGGATGATACATCAAAGGATGCATTCACAGAAAAAAAAGTCGCGTACATATACGAATTATATTCATGTCATTATCTTTTTATCCCTTTCTAACCCTAACCCTGAAAAATATATGAAAAGCATGTGAAAATTATGTAAATATTTTTTTTTCATACGAATTTCATGTGAAAACATTTATATGATATTCACATATCTGTAAGAACTTTCATGTGAAGTTTTCTTTGCACTATATTTATGCGATATGCTTTTCGTGTACAAATCTTATGAATGTTATGTCAGAATTTGATTTAAGTTTTCATATAAATTTCAAATATCTCACATAAAATTCATGTGAATTTCAAATAAAATTTATGTAAGCCACCTTTGTGTGTGTAGAACCAAAAATGCTTCAGATGCTGAAACTGGACTACATTTTCCGGATGGGTAAACGGGTTAAAGTTTTTGGTGCATTTTTGGATGTACACTTTTAGAATGTTGCTTGTGTGATTTTACATGTACCTTACTTAAACATTCGTTGATGTGAGCTCTGTAATCTCTGATTACCTACGTTTAATAAACGTATATTCTTAAAATAAGTAGGCAATAAGTAACTTTCTCTGGATCGTCTGGTATCTATACGACCCTTGCTCAATGAGACCATTCTACTCAATATCATAGCCAGTAAACAGGAAAGTTACTAATCACAACGAATGCTTTACGAGGCACAATAGTGAAATTAACTATAGGTATTTCTTTCAGTGTTCAAATATTTACATACATAATTTAATTATTTTAATTTCCATATTGCTGAATCAAAATTTACTGTCAAAAGTATTTCATGACTGGACAAATACAAAGTATTGTTTCATACTGAAACAATGGTTTCTTATTGACGTTTTGAATCAGGATAAATAATAATGATAATGATTTTATTTAAGAATTTAATAAAATATCAATAAATGAATAGTTAAGTAATGCTGAAATTGTTACTGGGTCCTAACTATAGTCCTAAACTAAATATACATCTTCAAGTAAAAATTTAAAAAAAAAAAAAGGGGGGGGAATCAATATACACTGTTGTGTATAAAACGTTTTGTCCATTATTGTTTTCTTAGGCCCGGGGGCACGGTACTACACATCTCATACGGTTAATTAGGATCCTAACAGTAGTCCCTTTATACAAGTCAATAGAGGGAACATTAACAAAATGTTGAATGAATGACTTGATCATTAACAGAGTGCAGGAAAAATATTTGTTTTAAAACTGTCGATGATTTAATTATTTTCAGACCCTTATTATTACATATTATTTTCACAATAGGTGAAAGAAGTCAAAGTTATAAAAACACCCTCACCTATTAAATTTTGAAATCCGCCTCTTCTAATATACATTAATTCTTTCTGTTGATACAATTAAAGCATCACTTTGTAGATTTATAGACAGTGTTAACTTTGTCCATCGTTAAACTTTCTCAATCATCCAAGACGCCATAGTCCGCTATGGTCCGATGATTCGTTTAACTTCTCATAAACAATTCCAAGACATATAATATATTCTATGCTTCTCCTCGCCTGTCTAAAGACTGCGATGGTTATCTGTCATTCTTCGTTAGTTTCCGCCAAGGTTCGATAGTTTCCGTATCTTGACAGCATTTCATCGTTTTTTTATCGGTTCTTATTGGTCGGCTTATCCCGTGTTTTTCCGTAAAAATGACAGTCCATTCATCAATATTAATTGTCATCCTTGTAAAAATGTTCATTCAGCAAATTGTATAACTACTGCTTGCTAAGTGTTCATGCACTTCTGGAATTTTAATGTTTTATTTTTATTTGAGACATGGATTTTTAATGTTTATTTTCATGAGTCAGACAGGTGCGTTGTGCTTAACAAAATGACATTCTCTCCTTTGGGTTTAACATGCTCTATGATGCAAGAAACAAAGCGCTAACCTATTTACTGACGGGTTTATCACTTGTTCATTAGTCAAGAAAGACAGTGCAGTGTATAGATCTTGTTTAAAAATATCAAGGCTTTTGAACGTCATTAGTACATTGTAGTGTAGGCAGTCAATTTATTTCCAAAATTTTTATCAATTAAATATTAACATTAAATATGCTAATTACATAATCAAATTAGTTCATTAGTCAGAGAAGGACAATGCAGTATAGATCTTGTTTAAAAATATTAAGGCTTTTGAACGTCATTAGTACATTGTAGTGTAGGCAGTCAATTTTTTAACATATCCAAAATGTCTTTTAAGAATTATAAATTGTATGCAATAATCTGTATTTTTTTTTCAAAAATCTTTATCAATTAAATTTCAACATGTGTTAGTGTACATTATATCTGCTAATTACATAATCAAATTAGCTTATTACACACAGCTTAATTTAAATTTCTCTCTCTCTCTCTTTAGAATTGAAACATTAATTTTTTGTCTGATACTAATTAATTGTAAAATTTATTGATTTTCCATTGCTTCTCTTCCAGTTTCACGTTAACATATATAGTAGCATGTAATGAAAATGCCTTTATTTGGAAACCTAGATCAATGAAAGGTTATAAACTGATGTCCAGTCATGTAAATTGGATTGTTTTCCGTCACTAAAAATAAGCTTTGTATTCACGCTGCTGTTCTTGTAGCTGCAGAACTGTATCGTCATGGTTTTATGTTTAAGTCTTTAACCAAAACTCTGACGAAAGGTACATGTCCTTGATTGATCAATGATGGAAAGCGAAGAAGTTAAGCTTGCGCCGAAAATATCGGGCTTTAAGTGCATTTTATCTACTTTACGGGATCTGCAGCCTTATGGTCACAGAATAAATTCTAAGACCACAAGGCTAAAGGTACCCCCCCCCCTTTTCGACCCCCATCCGGATCCTCTTTTTTTCCATCAGTGGGTGACAGATTTTTTTTCTTTAATTAGCTTGTTTTTCTTTGGGGGGGGGGGGGGGGGGGATTTAGTCTACCTCAGGGTCAACAGGTGCAATGTATGTATACAAGGAAACAGACATTCAGTAACCGAAATATAGGCACATCTATGAAAGATACCAGGGAAATAACATGGAATATTTAAGAAAGCATAACCCAAGACAATTTTTTAAGTTATTTAAGAATAAGAAAAAACTAGATAATGATATAACAGCAGATCAATTTTTTGAACATTTTAAGAGTGTTTTTGAGAACAAGAACGAATCTAACGTTGCTGACGACATTGTTGAACACCACTCAGCTTCATGTTATGAGGAACTAGATACGCGTATATCGGAATTAGAAGTCGAGAAAGCAATTTTGAAACTCAAATGTAACAAGAGTAATGCAGATGATGGTGTAATTAATGAATTTTTTATTAAATGTAAAGAAGTTATGATTCCTATTTTGTGTAAATTATTTAACAATATTTTTGATTCTGGTATGTATCCAGATAGCTGGTCAAAGGGATGTATTGTACCAATTTTCAAAAAGGGCGAATTACATGACCCAAATAATTACAGAGGCATAACTTTGGTTAGCTGTCTAGCGAAACTATTTACATGTATTTTGAATAATAGATTGTTAGAATGGGACCAAAAATATAATATTATTACAGACGCTCAGTTTGGTTTTAAGCCAGGTGCAAGTACAATTGATGCTATTTTTATTTTACAAAGTTTAATTAACAAGACATTGAGAAACAAAAAGAGATTATATTGTTGTTTTGTAGATTACTCAAAAGCTTTTGATTTAATTGACAGATCTAAGCTATGGTACAAGATACAAACAGAGGGTATTCAAGGAAAAATGTTATGTATTATTAAGTCGTTATATAAGAATGTTAGAGCCTGTATAAAACACCAAGGTACATTGACTGACACATTTCGTATATCTGCGGGTGTTCTGCAGGGGGAAATATCATCGCCTGTACTATTTTCCATGTATCTAAATGAATTTGAACGACATTTTATTGAAAATAATTGTGCTTCAGTTGAACTTCAAATGATTAATTTGTTTCTAATAATGTACGCAGATGATACAGTTTTAATAGCGGAATCAGTTGAAAGTTTACAAGAAATGTTAAACACTCTATATAGCTACACAAAAGAATGGAATTTAACTGTAAATGTACAAAAAACAAAAATTGTAGTTTTTAGAAATGGAAAGTATGTAAGAGATGAAGAAAAATGGACATATAATGGTAAAAATGTAGAAGTTGTAAATCAATTTAATTATTTAGGATTATTATTTAACTATAATGGTAAATTCTTATCTACACAGAAACACTGTGCAACACAAGGTAACAAGGCATTGTTTAGTATTTATAGTAAGATGAAAGATTTAAATTTCAATGTTGAGACTCAGATCAATGTTTTTGATACTTATGTTAAAAGTGTGTTATGCTATGGAGCTGAAATTTGGGGTTTCCATAAAGGTCCAGATGTTGAAAGAGTACATATTAATTTTTGTAAAAGAATACTTGGTGTAAGAAAAAATACCTGTAATAGTGCTGTTTATTATGAGTTAGGTAGAATACCACTAGATGTATACAGAAAGCGCAGAATATTAAAATATTGGTTAAAATTAAGAAAAAGTAATAACTGCATTTTGAGTGCATGTTACCAAGATATGGTAGAGAATAAAGATCCCTGGGTTATGAGTATAAAAAATGAAATGTACACTCTAGGTTTAGCTGACTTGTTTCATAGTAATCAAAAAGATAGCATTTTATTAGACATAACATACAACAGAATGTGTGACGTTTTTAAACAGAAGGCTATATCTGATATATGTAAGTCACCAAAATGTATGTTATATAAGCATTTAGTTGATTATTTTTGTTTACAAGGTTATTTAAAGAAACCCATCCATGTAAAATATAGAAAAGCAATTTCATGTCTCAGACTTTCAGCACATAATTTAAAGATTGAAACTGGAAGATACGAGAACTTAATAAGGAGTGATAGGAAATGTGTTCTGTGTAATTTAAATGAGATTGAAGACGAATTTCATTTTTTATTCATTTGTCCAGTTTTTCACGACTTAAGAAACAAGTTCATCAAAATTTACTACTCCCGAAGACCAAGTGTCTTCAAGTTAATACAATTATTCTGTAGTACAAATACCAAAGATGTAAATCAGTTAGGGAAATATATATATCATGCTAATAAATTACGAATGGAATGTTTAAATCATTTAGCTATATAATAAAATGTATGTATTACTAGTTGGTAAGTTTATAACATGTTATTGTACTATGTATGTAATTGATAAATACAATGTTGTACTTATGATGCTTATGGGATGTACGTCCCACGGAATAAAGAACTAAACTGAACTGAACTGAGTAACCGTTTATAATAAAAAGATTATCATTAATTAAGGATAATTAAAGATAAATATCAACCTAACAACTTTAACAATTATTTAGGAATTACCTTATGAACGTTTGGTTAAATAATAGACGAGTTTTATTTCCGCCAGTAATCTGGGAATTGAATTGCATTATAATTAATAAAAAAAAATGAAGCTAATCTAATTGATCATAATTCATTATTTTAAGGCTAATTAACCCATTGGTGCTATGACGGACGTTCCCCGTACAAATTCTGTGTACCTCTGTTCCTGGTTAACGTCGGACGTGATCGATGGTAATTAACACACCTGAACAAAGGTGAAGACAGGTAAATACAGGTAAGTACAGGTGAACAGGAAATCGTGACTGTCATGAGGTACTAGCTATAGCTATCACCAAAAGGTAGATAACGCAGTGTTTTAACAGTGCAGGTTGTATGAAAATTTCTTTATTGCTCATTACAGATAGGGGCTTACTCAACAATAATCAAAGATTCAATAAATATACAACTTAAAAATATTGGGAACGTGGAAGAAACATTCCGTGGCGGGATCAGGTGCAACCAAGGAGAATTCTTCCCTGTCGATCAATCACATCCGCTGCGATCTTGCGTTTGAACACTCCGTTCCTGCATTATAGAAGTCGGAACTATCAAGAACAATACTCCATCCCCGCTTTAGCAAAACAGTGGAAAATGGGCAGATATATAGGGGTATGGGGTGAGTGAGATGATGGGGGCATCTTAAGAGGAGCAGTGGGGGCAATAGGGAGTAATGGTATGAAATGTGATTAAAAAATCTCAATATCTTCTTGACATTTCGTTCGGAAATGACATTTTCAAGAATGCATGCATTTATGACCTTGGCCTTTGATATCGAGACCCCAAAATCAATAGGGTTTTCTTATTCCACGAGAATTTCTTGCGTAAAATTTTATTGGAAAAGCTCAGGGGCTTCTGGAGATATCTTGCAGAAACGTAAGTGTTATAGACAAAAAGAAAGACAAACGGACAGGAAGACCGAAGGTCAAAAGAGCCACAATCTGACAGCAGTTAATGTTTATTTTAATCCGGCATTCAAATACTTTTTAAAAGACTTAATTTAAAAGCATCTCTAAGATTTAAATTAAATTATTTGTAGCCAAGGGACGTGATTAATTGTCCATTTTTGTGAGTTATCATATGATAAGTTTTATTTACAAAGACACGTATATTTATATATTAATGTTGGAACAATATTACATGGCTTCTTAGAAATAAATATCCAGTTTAATACTTTTAATTGAATCACAGATTAATTTTATGCTTGAAAAAATTGAAATAAAAATTTTCAAAAATAAATTATTTCTACTTCTCTCTCCCTCTCGCTCAGCCTCCCCTACTGTCTTTTGTTCATTCTATTCGTTCGTTCTATTCCTCTCTCAAAATCATTTCTTTGCTCTCGTCCTCTCTCTTATTCATCTGCTCTTTCTTACTCTCTCAATATTACTCTCTCTCTCCTTCTCTCTAACCTCACATAACCCACAAAATAAATTAAATTAGCACATCCAAGAAAGCACTACACTGAACCATCACAAACTACTTCCGGTTCCAATCGACCGTCACTTTTTAATGGTTTTATGTCGCCTTCCGCTAAAATGTCTGAGTCCACGTGACTAGTAGACGACTCCCCCGCCTCAGGTTCCTTGTAATCAGGATCGATAACTCCGTCCTCATTATAAGTGGTTCTATCCTCACACACAAAGGGAAGATGTAGACCGTCCGGTCCAGTAAAATATCGATAGTCCTTCTCCGGAAACCATTTCCATTCACTTCCGTTGTACGTCAGAACGAGGCCGAATGTGTTGTCCACGACGTCTGATGCTGCTTCCGGGACCCAGTTCATGTAAGTGACCGGACTTCCGTCACTGTAGACCGTCCGGTCCTTGTCATCAAACGAGAGAACGTTGACCCGGATGTTGAAAATCCCTTGTAGGTCCGACTCTAGAAAGTTATAAAGAAATAAAAAGACCTTAAACTGAAGAAAATCTTAAATTGAATTTATTTCCCTTTATTATTTAAAAGATAACAAATATAAGATATAAATCATGGCGTAAATTCAAATAAACCTGTACGTTTACATGTATTGCTTCCAGGTCTGGGAGCCATAAAACTTAGATAAATTCACTTTTGATCCCAATCTCACGTTTCCATTATATATACCTTTGGTAAAAGTGAGACTGAGCCCAAAAGTAAGCTCTTCAATGTTTTATGTCCCCTCGACCAGAACTTAAATACCTGGGTGAACTCTGCTGATTTTGAGAAAGTCCCCGTAACCGTCACCATACCAGACAAACATTTCACTTCCGGGGTAAATATCCCTGGTCGTCATGTACAGAATGAGACCTGCGCACGACACAGCGATCACGTTTTCCTGTTCCACGTTTCCCGCGCAGTTTATCCACCGTAACCAGTTACTGTTAGCCGGATTTCCGGCGTCAATGACGTACATTCCTTCAGATCCCACTTTCTCCGTCTGTAATTTTATGTAATGTAGGAAAAGATATGTAACACAATGAAATACAATTCTCTATCATCCTTGGACTTTCGGTAAGGCGTGGTATTCCCGGCGCTACGTAATTAGCGTCTCTCAAATTGCGAAAAGACTCTCGATGGTTTAGAAATTCATAACATCAGGAACTTTAAATTGTTGTTGACAACGATGAGACGACTATAGCCTCACCTCTTTGCCGTATGAGACGCTGGATTTTTGCTACACTCGTTGACCTTCGCCCATATATATTTCAAAAGTCGTTGAGAGCTTTAATTTCAGACTTCAATTATGTAAAATGGAAACTACCACGCCTTAAGGAATTTCCAAGGTTAACAGAGAGCTGTACTAATGTAATTCAACAAGTTGCTGTCCTTTTTAAAAAAGACTACAATACGTGGACCATATGCATGAGTTTCTAACCGAAATTCAGTCAAAGAAAATAAATTTCTAAGTTTATTGGATATTCATGTAGGTTCGTTCACATTTTCTACAATGATCTGCCTACTTTGGCTGATAGCAAAATTATTAAATAAGATTTGACATCTGACCTGCCACGAGTATAGATCGTCGTCTTTGTGGTTGGTGTGTATAAGCCCCTCGTAGCTTCCTATGATTGTGTGTTTCGGTATAAACCTCTCCGCGAACCCCCCGAACCCCGCCCCCGGGATAGTAGACAGCTTGATGCTGAACCCTTCCGGTGTCGTGTGGTTGGCCCGGTCTTCCGGGTGAGAGCCGAGCGGGATCTGAAAACGGGAACAGAAAGTTATAACCGTATAACATAAATCTAACACAGAAATGTGAAGGAACAAGAAGAAATAACTGTCATTGGATTTTATATAACATGGAAATGTGATTGAACAAAAAATATACAGTCATAAGATTAAATTAACATAGAAATATTGATGTACCAAGTATGCTTTGTTTCTAGTATAAGGCCTGCACTCAATCCCTTAAAAGTGTTTATTGTGATTATAAATTACAAAGTTAAGTGAGTTAAGCAGCAAACCTTGATATAACCGTACATGGATTAAATACAACACAGACATACATGTATGACGGAAAAAAAAAACACAGACAAAATATCATTTTATCAAAATTAGGTTTAGAATGTATTCCTAGACAATGTTTATTCGCATACTTTTGATTTGATTCGAACATAGCTATCATGTTTCTAAATTTAGGTTTTAAAAACGACTTAGGTAGTTGGCAATGTCTTTATAAAACCTCCCTATATACTTTACCTCTGCATTAGGAATAAAGATGTAGGATTTGGATTTTTCTCTGTATTTCTTATAGTCCTCGCAAACTGAAACAAAAAGAAGGCATGATTAAACGTCTGACACTTTGATTGGTTGAAAGAACGTGTCACATGTACAATTTGATTGGTTAGAAGAGTTTGATTTGTTTGGAATAAATTTGGGTGGTTAATCTGCCCCTTCTCTCATCCCTCCCCCACAATAAAAAAGAAGGTGCATTATTTCTTTCTATATACAGAATACTATAGATCATTTATAAATGCTTATTCTAATCAGTTAAGAATTTGTAAACAGAGAGTTGGCAAAATTTAAAACGTTTTTTTAAACATAACATGCTTTATTAAAAAGAGTTTCCACAAGAATCTCTTATCAAGAACGTCTACAAATAAATGATGCACCGAAGTCCAGAATACGATCTCCCTAACGACCGGAAGTAGATACTTACACGCGGCTGCGTCGTTGTCGGTGTTTATCAATTCCTCTAGAGATCGCCGGAGAGCCTGACACAAGAAAGATAACGCAGGAATTAGAATCTATGATTTATAAACCTAGCATGAAACATCTATCGTGTAACACTCTAGAAATTAAAAGATAAGGCACAATTTTTTTTTTCATCTGAATAATATATTAGACATTTATGTAATATTAAGAAAAAGCTGTAATTCGAGTTTGTATTTTTTACTGACATTTTATAACGTTTGATTTTTTTCCACAATGCCTTTTAATAACTACGATGATCAAAAGTGTTGAAAATGTAAATTAATTCATAAAAACAAGACTTTTCTGCATAGCGTGCAATTATAAATTAACATGAAAGGAACAAAAAATTGAATAAATCAAAGTTGTTTCCTCTTTGACGTAACTCGGAATGATATTCCTGTTTTTTGTAATTTAGCATCAAAAATAATTTCGAAGTGATTACCTAAGCATTTGTTATTAAGCGTCAAGAAACAACTTTGGTTCAAAACTTAATGGGTGCAATAATTTAGTTCTAAAAGTAGACTGAAAGAAATTGAAGAAACATGCTTTTCTTTCTAAATATTGTTGATATTTCTAGCAATAATATTCTGTTTACTAACGTACAAACAGCGCTAATGTTTGAATTTATCTGTAAATATTCTTAAAGAGTCTTAGTTTTGAAATTTAGAGATTTCTGTATTTCAATAAGATAACCAAAATAAACCTTAAAAACAATCTCTCATTATCAAGACAATTTAAAATTGGAAGATATTCTTTGATAAGTACTGCAGCGTATTGTAATTCAAATGTTAATGTTTTATAAGATTCACGAAAATAATAACAACGTAGTATAAGGTTAGTGTACTATATGATTAATGTATTTCAAGATTAGCGTATTCATGTATTACAGACGGATAGTTTTAAAACATTTTAAGGTTACGTACTAAAATGTTAACATATTACAATGTTAACGCATTATTGCTTTGATTTATTGTAAGGTTTACATATTAGAACCAATTCAAGCTTAGTTTGGACTTTCAGTAAGGCGTGGCATTCTCGGCGCTACGTGTTTACCGCCTGTCAATTGGCAAATAGATTTTCTTTGGTTTAGAAATTAATAACATCAGGAACATTAAGTTGTTGTTGACAACGATGAGACGACTTAAGCTCCACCTCTTTGACGGGCTAGACAATGTTATTGGTTATTCGATACACTAATTGGCGTTTGCCCGAATTTCTATCCAATGTATATTTCAACAGCGAAGGATTCTTGTGTAAATTTCAGAAGCTAATTATTCAACGTCGAGAATGCCACCCCTTACTGAATTTACAAACTAAGCTGGAAATGGTCCTACAAAGTTAACATAAATAAATTTGATCAGATGATAAACCATACGATAAACGTATTATAAGATCAACGTATCATAAGGTTAGCATATTATTACACAGATATAAGGTTAACCTATTATCAGGTTAACCTATTATTGCATAGTTATAAAAATAACGTGTTTTTAGGTTGACGTTTTACATAATTATAAAACTTACACTTCTATCCTGTTGGAGACCGAAGAAATTCATATCTGGAAAAATTAGAAAAAAAATATACATGTACAATGTATATGAATACTAAATTCCATCTTGTGATATGAAAAATTGAGAATAACGGCTCAATTTAACATGTGCATAAAAGGATCACTGAAAACACAGGTAGGATCAGGTGACATCAACGGGAAAAAATCCCCTGTCGACCGAATGAAAACGTTAACAATTCTGATTGATAATAATAGAAATATATATGTATCATTAATGATTTTTTTTCCCATGGATTCTTCCTACAATAGATTGTACTCAAGGTGGCGCACAAAACATCAATGGCACACCTCCTTCGATAGCAACAAAATAAATCCTCAAAGTCCAATAATAATAATTTATCGGTCTCCTAATTTCTATAAATAACCTCACCTTCAATGAACTGAGTTAATGCCCTTTCTTTTTCTGCCGAGTCCAGGGTGACTAGCCCCGCCCCCTGGCGTGAACATTCGCGTGCTGTGTCGTACATTCCTACTGGCTGAAGGTGAAAAGAAAAACACCAGTTCTGCACCTGCGCAAAGCCATCTCGACAAAATCCGGAAGATTTATCTACACAACAAATAAAGAATATTTGACTTTTTTTCTATATTAGGCAAGAGCGCTACTGTGGTATATTGGACTTTTCTTAATAAAATGTACTGTTATGATATTGTTATTTATCTGTCGATGAACTCATAATTCTTACACCGTACTCAAGTTATTTCCCCTTAATTACAATACACATCTAAATCAATGTATGTTCATCGGGTTTTTTATGGATTAAGTTTCATAATTATTCTAAATAAAAATATATATACATAGAACGCGCGCCCGCCGGGGAACATTTTACCTTAATGGCCGCAATTATATATAGGACCATTAGACTATCCTTTACAAGTCTAACACAGGCAAACAAAGATGCTACAAGTTCATAACGTGTTGCTGATATTGGACAATTTATTCAACAAGAACTTTTATTATATTCCAGGAAGAACCAATTCTATTAAATCTATTATTGCTTGGAATTCCAAGTGCATGTGAATTTGGATCGTGAAAATGCGCGTGCCGCAACGTACAGAACAAGAGGAAAAATCAACATATTAAAATTTAATTTTTGAATATCAGAAAAAATTCGAAAAACTGTGATTAAAAATTGATTTCAAATTACCTGTAAACACAAATAGAGCTAAAAGTGAAAATAGCAACATTGTTCCCAAGTATCGTAAAGGCAGAGACGTCAGTTTGAGTCAAGAGTGTGGAACATTGATTAGGGGTTTGGCCCTTTTTTCTCTCTCTTTTGTGCCGTATCTTTTACTATCAAAAAAGAAAAAAAAAGGAAATCTTAAAATCCATTTTTAATAACATTGCCATCTCATAAAAAAGAGAAGAAAATACTCACTTTTTTTGCCGAAAATCTTTGACCGAAAATATATTTTCCTTTTTTTCAGTCGAGAGTTCGGTGGGTATCCATTATTTCGTTCTTTATCCTGAGGATCCTATGAATACTCTGTAGCTATAGAATAGCTAATAAAACAAGACAAGATTTGAAATATCAGGCCCCTTTTTCCTAACCTTCTAGTAAAACATCATGTTTTATTTCAACGTCAAAGATTTTAAGTACCATATTAAAATTAATTTATACATAAATTAATTAATGAATAAATTAACGGTGCTGTAATTCTTAAGAAAGGTCTTGAATTAAATTAGAGAAGGTGACATGAGTTAGGGTCGTTAATTCATTGTATACAATGCTTAAACGTCAAGTTTACGACTCGTCATTTTACATCAATTTAATATCAAAACGACAGGCGTCAAATGCATGGTTCATAACATGCACCTATGAAGGTGAAATTCCCTTTCTCTCTGTGCATATGATTATTACGCATTCCCCAAAAAACATGTTATTGTGAGTGATAGCTATTATCTAAAAAAAAAAATCTGCGAGACTTTCAATTTTTTCAGGTTGCAGCCTTTACCAACCAAAACAATTTTTTTTTAAGTCTTGAAATTTATCTTACATATCATTTTTATATTCATTTAATTTATGTCTCTTTTACTGGGATATTTAATGAACGAAAATAATTTTTTTTTCAGATTTGTATCATTAAAATAAAGAGATTATTTTATGCCAATATTCTTTAACAAGAAAAGCTGCCACGTGCAATACCCCCCCCCCCCCCTTGTCCCAAGAAAAAATTAAAACCGTCATATCATTTGAAAAAAAAATATTCCAATCGTTAAAATTCATTCCATTTAAAGAAAGTAACTTACAAAAATGAAATATTAAGGATCCTACGATAAACAAGCAAACGTACTTTAATTTATTGAATACCCAAATCCCCCCCCCCCCCCTCCCCCTGCCCCATCATTTTTGTCACTGAGTTTTAATTGGAATAGAAACATTCATTAGTCCCTGACATCCCTTTACGCAGTTATTTTAACATGATTAAGGCGCTACAAAAACAAAAACATAACTACTTGTCATTTTAATTGTCACTTTACTTTTTTTTTTATATAAATATTTAACGGTACAGGGAAAATGTATCAGGCGACTCGTGATATTCACCGATTGCCACACGTGCATTTATAATGACAATGTTAACTAGCTAAAAGCAAGGTTAATTTGAAATTTTACTTTCATGATCAAATAATCGTAAAACGTGCTAATTTATATTTTGTTTTAATTTCATGAACATGTAAATGAAAGAATTAATATTTTAATCGAATAAATAGAGGATATTTAATGTTTTGTAGTTGAATATGGAATTTATTTCACGAGTGGGACAGGATTTTAGATATTTTCACGAGTACGAATTTAAATTACAGTATTTCACAGGTAAAAATGTAATAAATTGTTCATTTCATGAAAGCAGGAACAGGTATACTTTTGTAACGTGAAGCGGTCACCCATCCAAGGGTTAAACAGGCTCGCCGTTACTTAATTTGCCTGAAATAGAGGGAGACTCTACCGCATCACCAGAAAAGCTAGTTCTCTAGCGAGGCAGTATTAAGTACCCTATAAACTGTCCGCTACACTTCCCCCCGCTCAGGAAAGCTTCAACCTCTCTGATTGTCTGGACGTCTTCAGTTACGGCAACCAATGCCGTTCCCGGCCACGAAGTCCGTACATGGACACAAAGTCTTAGCCTAAGAGCTTCCTGGGACAGACCGGAACCTCTTCGGTTACGGCAACCTCTGCCGTCCACACAGACGAAGTCTATGAATGGACACTAAGTCCTAGCTCTGAGACTTCCTGAAGCAGGACACCAAACAATAGAGTCACTACGCTGCCACCAATTTGTAACGTGAAGCGGTCACCCATCCAAAGGTTAAACAGGCTCACCGTTGCTTAACTTGCCTGAAGGAGAGGGAGACTCTACCGCATCACCAGAAAAGCTAGCTCACTTGCGAAGCAGTATAAGTTCTCTTTCCGCTAAACTTTTTTGAGGAAGGGGACTCAAAAAATAATTATGAATCGTAATAAAAGATGAATGAGGAATAGAAAAATGGGGTCAACCATTTTTTTCAAATGTCAATATTCACTCTAGCTATAAAAACGGACTTTTGTCTGAAAAGGATAGAGGGGCTCTACATTTTGCAGTTTTGTAACTGCTGCATTCTTCTTGGAATTTGGAATTTCATTTGAATGAGACCCAAAATTTTATATGTATCTCACGGTATATTATCACACAGGGGTCTTAAAATCCCGAAAGACTGTTTGTTTTCTGTCGGTGCCCCCCTCCCCCACCCCGAAAGCCTTATCAGCCATACAGAAAGAGCCTTGTATGAGACCTACGAAATGAGGTTTGACAGTAACTTGTCCTAGCCACGCCTGTCTCCATTGAAACTGGGAAATAGAAAGTTTTCAGTGATTAAAAGACTGCAGAAACAGACCCGTAGGAAGCAATCCAGTTTGGGAGGAGGGGGCGCAAACAAATTTTTTTTAATATAGGGACATTATCAACAACAATTAAATTCCTTGACACACATTTAAAACTAAGAAAATTTAAAAAAATAATTAGAAAAGGGTATTGCTTTATGTAGTGTAGTAACGAAACGACATTTTTAAAAGCATGTTTTAATTTAAACAAAGTATATGAAGGATAGGAAGATTCAGGTTACTATAACGGTTCAAGTTTAATTCTCATATCAATATAATAAAATAAAAACGTTTTAAATTTAATAAAATGCTTGTATGTGAAAATTTCAAACAATCATATCTTTCGCTAAAACTGTCAAATATTAATTAAGAACATCGTTAATTATAAGAATCAAAATAATAAATATATCAAGACACCAATCATGCAATAAAAAGTAATAATAAAATATAAATAAAACTTTTTTAAAAGATATAAATTACGAGAAAATATTAATTGAAAGTAAATTCTTCAATTAAAATTGACTATCTATACTAATTAAAACAACAAGATAATTACAATTAATTGAGAAAACAATCAGTAGAAGCCGCAGACCTGTTAGACTGGACAAAGCAGACGGCACACCAGGAATGGTAGACCGCGAGACATCAGGCGACCATAACACGGCGTCACGGAATGTCGTCTGCTGTACACGTGCCTGGGAGATCGATATACCTGTGATTTATTTTGATCGGGATCGATCACCGGTCTCCGTTCCACTTATCTACTGGCACTGGGGGGTCACGCAGTTAAAAAGTCATGAATATTCATTATATGCCAATATTGCTAGTTGTTATTTGCATATTGCTTGTTGTTACGAACTTTATTTTTAGGCGGATCTAAAAGTTGTTTGTGTTGTGTACATGTTAAGCATTATCATTATGAGTTAAGTGGATGGTGTTTTTGTATCAGATGAATTGTAATTGTTCCCCAAAGAGGTTTTTTCTGCTGATGCGGTAGTGTTTCTCTGTATTTTTTAGTGAGCGCAGCGTAACATTTTTTTCCGCAGTAACTTTGGACCCACAGTGCATCACTTCCTAAACAAAAGCTAAAGCAACGTTTTCACGAGAATAACAACAAAAGTTAGATCAATATAATAAACTTCATTAAGATCAGCCCTGTTATTTTCAGGCTTTGGTGTGGTAATGCAACATGCATACGACGTAATGACATCAGAGTCTAGATTCACCGAATGTCACCTGTGGTGTAACGAGCCCGATCTAAATTTAAAGTGAAAAGATACCTGCTCTCGCCTTAACGGTCGCACCTTTAACATATTATGCAGCTTAAGCTACGGAGAGCTAAAACAACTGTTTGATGGGTTGCTCATATTAACTTTCACAGTAACAATGATTTTAATTTATGGCATCCTACGATTTGATCTGAAATAAAGAAAATCAGTTCAGAAAGTAATACACAAACAAACAACAAAGAATCTGAGAGGGAACCAAATAGAAAAAAAGTTTAATTTTTTCATTAGGTAAATTTACTTGGAACAAACAACACATGTAATGGGTTTTCCGTTTTCATATGGCGGGCATTTCAAACTTCCGCAATGCGCACGCACGCCATACAGCAGAAAACTGTATTCGTCATTTTCTGAACCAGCATCCATAAACTCAACGTTTTCATCCACACATATGTAAGTTGTAGTATGCGCATGCCTAATATAGCTTCCCGAAAGATATCCATGGTACTGTTCTATCCATCCTGGTAGACATCTATTTCTTCCAGGGATCATTAACAAACTAGCGCCATCTGTAGGTGAACAGACGGCGCATGGCACGTCCTTGTCGAAACTTCCGGATCCCCAGAAGTTGTTTTGGTATTCTGCACCTCTTATTTCCGCCATGGCATCCTCTGGTTGCTTAGATCCCCAGATGACGTCATGCACCATACAAAGTGGGTTAGCAGCGCCTCCTGTCTGGGAATCAGCGGAACCACCTATCTGACCTGCACAATATAAAAGTCGCCTGATATTATAATCTGCTCATTTAATTTGTTTGTGGAATTTCATCCATCATGCTCATGATTTCTTGACTAAAATGTATATATTAAGGTTATATGAACTGTATATATTTAGGTTGTCTTACCTGTATATATTAAAGTTGTCCCACCTGTATATATTAATTAAGGTCTCACCTGTTTATATTAAGGTTGTCTCACTTATTTATATAAGGGTTGTCTCACCTGTATATATTAAGGTTATCTTCCTTGTATATATTAAGGTTGTCTTACGTGTATATGTTAATGTTGTCTCACCTGTATATATTTAGGTTTTCTCACCTGTATATATTAAGGTTATCTAAGATGTATATATTTAGGTTGTCCCATCTGTATATATTAAGGTTGTCTCATCTGTATATATTAAGGTTGTCCCATCTGTATGTATTAAGGTTGTCTTATCTGTATATATTCAGGTTGTCATGCGTGTATATATTAAGGTTGTCTTATCTGTATATATTAGTTGTCTCATTTGTATATATTAAGGTTGTCTCACCTGTATATATTAAGGTTGTCTCACCTGTATATATTAAGGTTGTCTCACCTGTATATATTAAGGTTGTCTCACCTGTGTATATTAAGGTTGTTCTCACCTGTGTATACTAAGGTTACCTAGCCTGTATACTAGTATATTAAGGTTGTATATATAAATGTTGTCTCACTTGTATATATTAAGGTTGTTCCACCTGTATACATTAAGGTTACCTCACCCTTCTCATCATGGGCGATACAAAGAAACTGAATTGACGACGGATTTTTCCGTTATTTCCTGATCATGACAAGGAGCGCACGGCGGGTGTGACCGGTCAGCAGGGGATTTTCACTCCTCCATGGCACCTGATCTCACCTCTGATGTTTCAGAGATCCGTGTTAATTTGTTCTGCTCCTATCTTTATTGTTTTAAATGTACTTTGAGAGAAAATACTCTTCGTTATCTCCATATTCTTCTGTCTATATTAAGATTGTCTCATCTGTATATGTTAAGGTTGTCTCACCTGTATATATTCAGGTGTCTCACCTGTTTTGACATGTATTAAGGTTCTCTCACCTGTATATATTAAAGTTGCATTGGCACCACACCCGTGTTTTCCCCACCTCACATAAGTAGGTTTTCCTTGGGAAAGAAGACAATTCAATTTCATTAATCGAATAAATATTCTAATTTTTTCTACTTTTAAATTAAGACAAATAAGAATTGAAAACTGTGATTAATTAATGTTCATTCATAATTTTATACATTATTGCAGCAAAGGTCAGATAAATAGTTCCAAAATTAAAAATTTACTGAAAATACATTGCATTATTAGAGCGTACTTCTTTATGTCAAACAAATAGATTCTTAGAGAATCCAATTCAACAGATGCAAAAGCAGCATGATTTAGTCGGAAACATTTCAGCTTTATCAATTTACAGGTTAATTGTCCAATTAATTATAAATTCAATGCACTACAGTGCCAAATCAAACAGTTAATCAATGAATATGGCAAAAAGTAAGTAGGTGAATATTTTTCTAAATAATTTAATTTTAATTGTAACACGTCATTTGATTGGTTGGACGGTCTTATCCATTTTTATGCCCCCGTAAACGAAATTTCCAGGGTATATAGTTTTTGTCGTGTCCGTCTGTCTGTCTGTCTAGCTGTCTGTCTGTCTCTCTGTTTGTCTGTTTGTCCGCAAAAACTTTAACCTTGTCCATAACTTTTGATTTAGTAGAGCTGCGACTTTTATATTTCACATGTGTATTCCTTGTGAAAAGACCTTTCTTTAGGTACCACCAAATTTGACCTTTTGACCTTGACCATGGAATTTGACCCATTTTTACACAAAAAATTCAAATTTTTAATTGGCCATAACTTTTGAACAGTAGATACCAGGACATTTAAACTTCATATATATTTTCTTTGTGGCAAGACCTTTTACTGGATACCACCAACCTTGACCTTTTGACCTTGACCTTGGAGATTTACGTAATATTGAAAAAACTTTAACCTTGGCAATAACTTTTGATCAGCAAGGGCTAGAGCTTTCATACTTCACATATGTAATCCTTGTGAAAAGACACTTCATTGGATACTAAGACCTTTCATTCGATATCAAGACCTTTGACCCTTTGACCTAGACCTTAGAGTTAACCTTGGCCATAACTTGTGAACGGTTAGGGCTAGAGCTTCCATACTTCACATATATCTTTTTTGTAACAAGAGCATTTATTGGATACCACCAACCTTGACATTTTGACCTTGACCTTGGAGGTTTTCGGACTTATGAAAAAACATTAACCTTGGCAATAACTTTTGAAGAGTAAGGGCTAGGGCTTTCATACTTCACATATGTAATTCTTGTGACAAGACCTTTCATTCAATACAAAAAACTTTGAAATTCTGACCTTGATCTTGGAGTTTAACGTTCTAATATAATCTTTTTAACCTTTGCCATAACTTTTGAATGGTTAGGGTTAGGGCTTCCATACTTCAAACATGTGATCTCTGTGGAAAGACCTTTCATTGGATACCAATAACCTCGACCTTCTGACCTTGATCTTGAAGATTTCTGTACTTATGAAAAAAATTTAGCCTTGCCATAACTTGGGAACAGATGGTGATAGGGCTTTCATGTTTTACAATTGTATTTCCATTTAGGAGACCCTACTTTGGGTACCAATATATTAAATTTGCATTTAAGAAAAGTTTAATCTTCACAGTGTTGCCATACGGGGGCATCAGTGTTTCACAAACACATCTTGTTTATGACATAACTTGCCTACGTCACAGTGAGTTACGTCCAAAACGTATAACTCTGCTTGACGTTAACTTTTAAAATATGCGATATTTAAAGCATTTTTTTTTGAAGGAAAAAAAAACCCGTCTCATTGTCTACATTGAAATTAAATTATACGGAATGAAGCTTATTTCAACTTATGTTATACAATATAACATAACTTGGGGCAGTTTACGCTTCTTAATAAACCGCTTTGCCTTCAAATAAGCTTCATTCCTTAATTAATATATTTAACATCCTTGGACTCATTGGTTCTCGAGATGACGTTTTATAAAAAGCTTTATACGAATTGATCAAGCTATTTCTTAATTAATAAGAAATGAATTCAATTTCACAGAAAGCGTTCTCTTAAGATTAAAAAACTTAAATTTAAAATTACATATTAAAAAATAATCAAAATTTTCTTCAAGAAGTTAAAATATTTAACATTTATTCTTAAAGATTCCATGTTTCCTTTTTTATCAATTGTCTGAACATCTTGTTTGAGACACACCCACTCTGAATACATGGCTGTTCAGATAGAGAGGAGGAGACTATATAAGTATCTTTGTTTCTTACCTGTACTAGAATGTGTCAGTTTACTAATGGAAGCCTCGGCTTGGTTAAGTTTGCTTGTCATACTCTGGACTTTTTGCTCTAACTGTTGGAGGCGCTGTTCAAACAAGGCTGGGTCATTTAGTAGAATCCGTCCGTCACGAAACTTTCCCTCCTCATCGATATGACTTGACGTTATTTCTCCAGTCGCATACGAAACAATAAATACTAAAATGGAAGTTGATTATTTCTTATCTTACAATCAAAGAACAATGTCATATACTTACAGATAGTAGTCGCTAGTTTAGTGGGAAATACATACCACTTTTATCGAATGTGTCTTCCATCAATTCACAACCTACGGTCAATAAATCCAAGCACGGGTCAATAAATCCACAGAGGGGTCAATAAATCAAAAACACGCACTCATTAAATTTAATGGAATGAATTTAATTTTTGATGGAATCTTTGTTTTATAATATTAATTGGAAAATTTTCACTTTTCACTTTTTACACAACCATTCACCAAGATAAATTAAAGACCAGGCTTTTTGAAATCATTGACAGCTGCTTTTTCAATAAAAATGGAACTCGTAAATATTCTTACCTGGTCATTGGTCATTTAAAAAATTATTTCGTTAAAACACATTTTGATTGCACACACAAGTACTCTGAAGTTGACATAAAAAATGTGCTTGAGTTTCTTATTGACCATATCTACTTTGTTTTTGGAGATCAGGTCTTCCAACAATCTATTGGAATCCCAATGGGTATTAATTGCGCTCCGTTATTAGCAGACCTATTTCTGTATTCATCTGAAGCAGGGATCCTAAATAACCTGATCTCAAAAGACGTTTTTCTGCTGATGCGGTAGTGTGTCTTTGTATTTTATGCAGCTTAAGATACGAAGAACTCAAAAATCTGTTTGATTGGTTTCTTATACGTTAACTTTCACAATAACAATGATTAATTTCTGGCATCTAAAAAAAGTTTATTAGTGATTTATCAGTGATTGTCTTATGTAACAGTAAAAAATAAACAAATATAAATTACTTTTTACAATTTGAAAATTAAAATTGAAGGGATAAAATAGAAAATACGCTTTAATTTATTTTTTCATGCAACAACTTTACTTGGAACAAACGACACATGTGATTGGTTTTCCGTTTTCATATGGCGGGCATTTCAGACTTCCACAATGCGTACGCACACCATACATCAAAAAACTGTGTTCGTCATTTTCTGAACCAGCATCCATAAACTCAACGTTTTCATCGACACATATGTAAGTTGTAGTATGCGCATGTGAGACTGCGTTTGCTGATAAATATCCATGATACTGTTCTTTCCATCCTGGTAGACATCTATTTCTTCCAGGGATCATTAACAAACTAGCGTCATTTATAGGTGAACAGACGGCGCATGGCACGTCCTTGTCTAAACTTCCAGTTCCCCAGAAGTGGTCCTGGTACTCTGCACCTCTGATTTCAGCCATGAAGCCTTCAGGTTTGTTAGAGCCCCAGATAACGTCATGCACCATACATAATGGGTTAGCAGCGCCCCCTGTCTGGGAATAAGCTGAGCCACCTACCTGACCTGTACAAGATAAAGATAACCCTGATGAAATAATTTCTTGCAAATTTTATTTATTTTTAAAATCATAATCCTACTTCATGTGGCTTTAAACTTCAACTTGTAAGGAAAAAATTTTTCTTACTTGAGATATGCGATGAGTTTGCTCTTACCTGTATAGATCAAGGTCGCATTGGCTCCACATCCGTGTTTGCCCCACCTCACGTAAGTAGGTTTCCCTGAGTAGAGTGGCAGAAAATCAATTTTAATTTGCAAAATACCTTTTTACACATGCAAACACACAATATTTTATGTAGGATTTGAAACGTTGCGAATTTATAATTAAACCATATTTTCAACTCAACCGCAAGCTAACAAGCCTACTTCTATTAAAATAACTTTGAAAAATGTGATATAAAAGAAGTATCATAACTTGGGAACCAGTTCAGTTATACAATTTTTAAAGCCGAAAGTTTCAAAGGAATCCCCTTCTCATTCCTAACGAAAAAAAAAATTGAAGCCTTGCCCTTGTTTCGTTTTTTAACCCTCTTCGAGATATCACTTGTGTTTCAAGAAAACAATCACGTATTTTGTTTGCATTTACCTGTACTGGAAGACGTCAGTTTACTAATGGCCGCCTCTGCTTGGTGAAGTTTGCTGGTCACATCTCGAAGGTTTTGCGTGGTTTGATGTAGTTCTGACGTCAAGCTCTGGATTTCTGACGTCATACTTTGGATTTTGTGATCCATCTGCTGAAGTCTCTGGTCAAACAGGGAGGGATCATTTAACAGAATGCGCTTGTCACGAGTTTTATCCTCTTCAGATACATCATTTAACGCCCGTATTCCGACTTGATGCCAACCAATCACTACTATGATGTAAGTTATTCTAAACGTCAACATTTTATACTCTTATTCAGTCGCGTCACTTTCACCAATTCCTTATCTTCAAATCATTGTCCAGGGTTTTATAGACAGTATAGATAAAGTATTGATAGTGCGATACTAGTATTTCATATTGCAAAATATTCGTTACTTTTAATCATAAGCTTAAAAAAGGATGTACATTAAAACGAGAAAAAAAAATAATAAGAAACTTTAACATGGTAGATAGCTGATGGTACCAATATAGGTTTCTGGAGGTAACGCTGATAAGAAACGGAGAACATATGTGTATGTTTCCTTTTTGAGTAAATTTGCCAAGGATAGGTTAGTACGAGTGTCCTTTTCCCATGGTTATGTTCCCTATTCGTGAACATGAAGGTTTGTTGTCTTGGGGATACCAGAAATTTGGTGTTGCTAGTAAAATCGGAAATACTTTTCCGGGTCAAATTTCTTGAAATAATAAAATCAGAGAAGGTATAAATTATGTATTTTTAAAAATTAATCATTGCTTTTTATAAAAGATTTGATTGTCATTTTTATTCTAAATATTCCTGGACATAGAAATTTGATCCCATGATTTCTGATTCAAAATATACAGGCATCTGATGTTTTGGAGGTCCGTGTTTGCTCTGCTTTTGTTTTGTATTGTTTTATGGACTTTAATATTGAATACAGTTTATTATCTCCATATCCTTCATTATATAAACTTTCTGTAAAACAAGACAGGTCGTTTTATAACAAACGATCAATAATGAGCAGGCGCATAGAAAAAGGGACGGGGCTCTCTCCAGTGTTCACTGAAAGGTGATTACATTTATTTATAGCATCAAATAAGGGTTCTTTATAGAAGTAAACGTATAAAATTTGGTATATAAAAATTGAATCATACCCCCTAACCTTTTTTGGGTTTTAATTTTTTTTCATTCAAGTTGATCCCCCTCCTGCTACTCTAACAACGAGATTCGTCCCTCATTATTGTTTTATCGACAAAACAATTAGATTTAGATAAATGAAATCTCAGCCACAAACTTACTCAGGTACAATATACTATAGGGTTCTACCACTTGCATCCAACATAGATAGAAAACGTCAACAATTTATTTTTCAAGCATTTATTTTTGTTTTTAAACAGTCAAGTTGGTAACAGTCAGTAGTGTATTATTGTGATCTTTATGACTAGATGTATCACACGAAGTGGCATTTCAACCGGAAGTAGGCGGTGTCACTGAAAACAAAGAACCAGTACAGTCATCAACAATTATAGCAGAAAGAAATTTTACTGAATCATATTATTTCACTACTTTGATTGTAAGCCATCTAACAATAACACGTTGGCAATATACGTTTTTCAATCTGTCTGTTTGTCTGCCTGAACCGAGATTTTTGCAAATGTAAGGTCAAAGTTTACTTACAACCACAGGTTGAAGACACAGATAGGACGAAAGGTAATTTTGTCAAATTTTAATTACTATCACACAGTAGTAGTCACAGACAAAAGTTAAAGGGGTCAAAGTTTACTTACTGCCACACAGGTTGTAGTCACAGATAGGACAAAAGGTCACCATATCAAAGCTTCCACAAGCTACCGGACAATTAGTTGGGAAAGGTGGACAACCTGTAAAAAAAGTAGAGATTTTCCCAATAAAAAGTAAGATGACCAAAAAAAAAATTCATATGGAACAAACTGTTGATAAATTCCTTTCAAGGTGTGATGACAGGTCTAGCTTATGTTTTTAAAATTGAATGCTTAAAATTGTTTATATCTATCCCTTATATTGCTGGATGTTTCTGCAAAAATCAGCAACTTATATAGATGCTTTGAATCGTTTCTATCGTTTTCCTGAGGTGTCGTGCCGTGTTTTGCAATTGGATGTTCAATGTACGTTTGAGCTCGAATACTGCTTTTTATCTCCAAATACCTCACTGTGTTTTGCTTTTTTTGGTTGAAGTTAGTACTTGTGATTTTGTGCTGTATCTCTCTTTTTGTGTTGATATGTATACATTGTGCTTTATTTGTACAATGACTTTTGATTCAGAAGACTTGTAAGCTTTCAGAGTTATAATTATGCGCTCTTTTTCAGTTAATAAAGTCGTACTTAAAGTATAGAAGACTTTGTTGTTGTTGTTTTTGTTGTTGATCAAAGCACTTGATTTCCTAATCTAACTGTTCCGTTTTTTTTACCTGTGACTTACCTGTAGTTGTAGGCATTCCTGTTGTTGATGTCTTGACTGTTGTTGTTTTCAATGAAGGCGGCACAGTTATTTTTTGTGTTGTTTTTAATTCTGGCGGCATGGTTATCTTAATTGTAGTGGTTGTCGGTGTTGTTGTCGTTGTCGGTGTTGTTGTCGTGGTCGGTGTTGTTGTCGTAGTTCGTGTTGTTGTAGTTGTTGGTGTTGTTGTCGTGGTCGGTGTTGTTGTAGTTGTCGGTGTTGTCGTTGTGGTTGGTGTTGTTGTCGTAGTTGGAGTTGTTGTCATGGTTGGAGTTGTTGTCGTGGTTGGAGTTGTTGTCGTAGTTGGTGTTGTCGTGGTCGTGGGAGTTGTTGTCGTGGTCGGTGTTGTCGTCGTTGTTGGTGTTGTCGTCGTTGCTGGTGTTGTCGTCGTTGTTGGTGTCGTCGTCGTCGTTGGAGTTGTTGGGGTAGTCGTTGTTTTTAGGGTTGTTGTTTTTGCGGGAGTGGTCGTTGTTTTGAGGGTAGTTGTTTTGTGGAAGTTGCTGCTAGATGAGTGGTTCGTTTGGGTCTGGCTGTTGTTTGTATTGTTGGTACTACTCGAATTGTTACTATTATTAGAAGTGTTCATGGTGTTAGAGGTGGAGGTATTTGACGAGGTCTTGGAAGTTGTGGAATTATTAGAGTTGCTTTTGGAATTATTCACGTTGTTTTGTGAGTTATTGCTTGAAGTGTTAGAATTGCTTGAAGAGTTAGTTTTAGAGTTGTTAATGTTATTAGAGGAATTTTTGCTGGAAGTATTCATGGAATTAGAGGAGTTGTTATTAGAATTGCTGACTGTGTTAGAGTTGCTGTTTTTCGAACTATTCATGTTATTTGAAGTGTTATTTTTCGAGGTATTCATGTTATTTGAGATGTTATTGCTGGAAGTGTTAGTAATGGTCGAGGAATTATTCGAAGTGTTCGAACTGCTCGATGAGTTTTTGTTGGACGTGTTCGTGCTATTGGAAGAATTATTGTTTCCGGAGATGTTATTTTTAGATGACCCGTTATTCGAGCTGTTACTGTTAGTATTGGAACTGCTATTCTGCGTGTTGTTGTTGTGAGAAGAACTGCTATTTGAGAAGTTATTCTGTGAGGAGCCGTTATTTGTAGTATAGCTGTTTGAGTGTGAGTAGTGCTGACTGCTGTTGGACGTATTGTGAGAACTGTGATGACCATGGCCGTGAGGAAGGCTGCTGTTGGAATTGCTGCCATTTTGTGAGGAACTAGTGCTGCTACTACTGCTGGAGGAGGAGCTGCTCTGGGATGAGCTGCTGTTAGAGAAATTGTTGCTATGAGAACTGGTGCCATTGTGAGGATGTTTGTTGTGGTGGTGGTTGTTGCCATGATGGTGGTTGCTGTTGGTCGTATTTTGGTTGCCACTGTTGCTCGAGAAACTGCTTGAAGAGGAACTACTGCTAGAGGAGGAACTGCTGCTAGAATAGCTAGAGCTAGAGGAACTGCTACTGGTGAAGGTGTTGCTATGAGAGGAAGTGTTGTTTGTGAAACTGCTGCTGTGATTTGAATTGTTGTTTGAGGAATTATCATGTTTAGAATTGCCGCCATTAGAGTGATTGTTTTTAGAGGAGTTGCTCTCTTGTGAAGTACTCGAGGTTGCTGAATTTTTCGCTGAGGAGGAAGCGGCGGTAGATGTTGCGCTTATTTTAGAGGTTGTGCTCTTCTGAATAGGAGTAGTGGTTGTGGTGTGATGGGGCCGTGATTTTGTCGAGGTACTGGGCTTTGTTGTAGTGGTTGTTGTTGTAGTCAGGTGTAGTCTTTTAGTTGGTTCAGTCTTTACAGTAGACGTTGGTTTTTTTGTAGTAGTAGTAGTAACTTTAGTCGTAGTGGCTTTGGAGGTTGTAGAAGTAGTTGAGGTAGGAGTAGTTTTTGTTGTAGAAGATACTGTTGTAGTTGGGTTTGTTTTTGTCATAGTTTTCTCTGTTGGGGTGGTTTGAGGGGTGGTGGTAGTTGTTTGAGGCGTGGACGTAGTGGTTTGAGGGGTAGACGTAGTTGTTTGAGGGGTGGTGGTAGTTGGTATGGGGGTGGTTTCCGGAGTTGTCACAGTTGTACTAGTGGTAGAATGAGTACCATGATGAGCGGGGTCTTTACATGGACATGGGACATTTTCTGTCGTCGTTTCTGGAGGGTTCGTTGTTGTAGTTACAGGGGGAGGGGTAGAAGATGGGGGAGAATTTGTCATAGCCATAGGGTTCCAGCCGATAGGCATTGGTTCTCTCTGTCCACAAGTAGAACAGCCACTGTTAGGAATATTCAGCATCAACTGAAGCATGATGCCTTTGTCCTTGCAATCTACGTAAAAATCAAAATATTAAGGCATTATAAGAAATGTATAGAAATAACAAACAGTATTCAAGCTCAAAGTTTCATTCAATAAATACAGATCAGTGGCAGAGCAAATGCGGACTTTTCAAACATAAAAGGTGCCATTCCCATGCCTGCTCGTTTTCGTTTTATTAAAATTTAAGCCAATGATTAACTTTCAGATAACAGACATTGGAATTGAAAAATGACATTATGGTTTACAAATTAAGCAACTACAACACGTTCTTGATTTACCGTGTTATATAAATTACTATGTGAGGTGATTTCTTAAAAGTTAATAAGATACAGATATATGCGTGACACTCTAGTTTGTATGGAATATGGGTATTGTGAGGACCTAACACACAAAGAATTTTGTTAGACATATGTTTTTTTAGTTTTACATGATATACATGTATTGCATTTCTTTATATACAGGAAAAGGATTAGATACAATAATAGTTGTTAAGATGTGTTATTTCATTGTTTCAAATGCATAAGTATTTCTTTTCTTTTGACAAGAGATGAAGTGAACTCTTACTTTCCTTTACTGGACTGACATACTGCGGTACAGATGCACCGGAACCCATCTGTTGTTTGTCCTCCCCTTTAGAAATGTAAAAAAGAAAATCAGAATATATTAAAAACGAACTTTTAAAATTCCAAGAAGAGGCATTTAAATCAGGCCAATCTATTTCTATTTCTATTGTGTTTTCTTCTCTATGAAAATTTGCATAATATAGATATGAAGAAATAAACTCATTCTTGCAGAACTATTTCATCATTTCTTCATAATTAAAAAAAATCTATAAATTTTGCGCTACACACAGCCAACAATTAGTAGAATGATAACAAAAGCCAAAAGTTAAATCGTATTTCACGTTAGGCCAGTTAAAAATGTCTAGCAAAAGTAGTACTTACCCGTACAAACAAAACATCCGGACGAGAAGTCGTATTTCACGTTAGGGCAGTTAACGCTGACTGGAGCACATCCACCTTGTCTAGACAGAGTAAATCCTGGAATTATAGAATTTTTCATATTTAAAAGATAAATCTAATGAATAGCAATCAGGTTCCTAACTAACTCTTCAGTTGGGATACGGTGCCTAGGAGGAGTGAGCATCCCCTGTTGTCCGGTGACAACAGTCGTGAGGCCTATATTGACAGGACAGACACAACATTCCAGTGTTGAATTCGATTACAAATTAAAGCATAACCATTGCTATTTAATAGGTTTTTCAAATATGACCCTTTGATTCTGTACGTTATTTATGCATCCGATGTCTTACAAAATGTGCCCATCAAACGAGGTTAACTTTTCTCTGATGTAAAAATATTTATCAGTAGCCTGTCTTTGTTTTGTTGATTGATTAATTGTAGTTGGGTCATGCTCTTGGGTAAAAATATTAAAAGTAAACATTGATGAATCAAAGAAAAATAAATAATAACAACGAAGGAAAGGGGCACCTCTGAATGATAGCTATCATCTTAGTTAAAAAGAAATTAGTCTATTTGAGTTTTAGCGCCGAATCAAGAAAATAGGTAAATTTAACTTATACTAGACTATTCTGGAGTCAAATGAAACATATGGAGATAATGAAAATATTCAAGATCAAAAGTTCATAAATCAAACAAAATGGGAGCAGAGCAAAAACTGATCTCCAAAACATCGGAGGTGGGATCAGGTGCCATTTAGGATTGAGCATCCCCTGCTGACTGGTCACACCCGCCGTGTGCTCCTTATCATGATCGGGGAATAAGGGAAAATCCGTCGTCAATTCAGTGTATAAATAAAGGACTTGCAATGATTATGAAAAACATCAGTCAGTATTTGACTCAATGATCAATGAGTAATTGTATTTCCTGACAAGGTCATCGTATCGACCATAGAACTTACAAAATGATGACTTTAAACGAGACTGCTGAAATTCTTGTTTCATCAACTTGTTTGTCAAATATTTACAAGGTAAACTGAGCATGTAATTCGTAAGCAATTAAACAGATAGCTGTGGTTAAGGATTCAATATGCAATTTAGAAAACACATTTAACATGACATACAAAGAAAACTTAAGGACACGCGAAGGATTAAAAAAGGTGATCAGCATCTATTTAATACAACTTGTCATCTTCTCTATAACAAGATGCAAGACTAATTAAAAAAAGGGAAATTGTATCCAATGAAAAGGAAAATTACGAGTATTTCGAAAAGAATCAAGAGACAAGAAATAAAATAAAATTAATTAAAATTAACGTCGGATATTGTCGGGAATCAAAGAAGCTAACGTCCTAATTAAAAACTAAACTATCAATCAACACATATTGATAGTTTGTTCATCCCTCCATCAACAATAAATAAGCTTTAAAACCAAGATTGAGCAAATTTAAGGAATTAGTCATAACATGTTTACATCAACCACTAAACAAAGGGTAAAGAAGATCAGAGACCCAAAGATAATGCCATTAGTAGACACTTTTGTATTGGGTGTTCTGTAACCGGAATACAGTGACCAACTGAGTAACCAATGTAAAACTCCAATAGAAAAATAATGAATTCTCCCCTTACGTCTAGTACTCTGTTTACGGAATACACTAACCACTAGAATTACCAATGTAAGACTCCAGTAGACAAATAATGAATTCTCCCTTACCTCTCGTGTTTTGTATCCGGAATACACTAACCACGAGAATTACCAATGTGAGACTCCAGAGGGACATGATGAAGGGTTAGCGGTATCTATCGAGTGACACCGTTCCTCCATAAGGGTCAGGTCTTATGGCGGTAAGATGGCGGTATCAGGCGCGCGCCAGTACGCTATGCCCCCTACCTATTGATACGGCGTCTTGATAAAGAGACCAGCTGTTTAATGTGATATAAAGCACTTACTGGTCATTTGGTGGACTGGTCGAAAGTTAAAAACATATTATCAAGTTCGAAGAAATAAAATTGTTAATATATATTAATAATATAGTCGGTACATTGATCTTATGAAATGCAATCTATCATAATGTCAATTTCTAATGAAATATTGCATATCAGCTACATTCTCTTTTATTCTTAGATATATAAGCATATGAGATCTTGAATAAAATTCAATAAATCACACATTAATACTTCAACCGAGTTTTTGTTTAATGAGTTATAATTAGGTAATCAGGCGACAAGGGATATTCATTCCTTCATTGCACCTGATTCCGCTTTTGTTTTTGAAGGCACATTCTTTGTAAATGTAAATCATATAAAGTACCATGTTATCTAATCGCTAGAGGGCCAAAGGTCTTCAATCGGTCTTCTGATAAACAGTGCGACCAATCACTTCTATTTTAAGCCTCTGTGTAAACTGTATATGAAGTGAAAGCATTAGATTCTAATTAAAGGTCATCGTGACTTTCGTTTTGGTTCAACACTCTGAGTGCCGAAAATGCTAGGACTATAAAAATTTGATGCTTCATCGCCACTTTTTTCTTTAAAAAATCAGATTAAAACTTACTTCAAACTTAATTTCTTATCAGGTCTCATTATTTAGTTGTATCTTAAAGGAACTTGGATAAGTTTTTACCCAACTCATTCTTTCATGTATACATCATGTCCTTAAATGAAACATATGGGGATAACGAACAGTATTCAAAATCAAAATGTCCCTTAAAGAGTACAATATAGAAGCAGAGCCAACACAGACTTCCAAAACATCGGAGAAGGGATCTGGTGCCCTGGAGGAGTAAGCATCCATTGCCGACCGGTCACATCGTGTGATTCTTGTTATAATCGGCAAATAATGGAAAAAATCGTCGTCAATTCAGTGAATGAACAATCGACTAACATTTAGTATAAAAAAAGTCAGTCAGCATTGACTTAATGATGAATTGTATTTGATGATAATATCCTTTGATCCACCATAGAATTTACGAAATGACGACTTCAAACGAGACTGCTGATATTCTTGTTTTATCAACTTGTTTGTCCATAATTCACCTCGGTTTAGAAATCGTTCAGACGTATACCATGCTCTTGCGTATCAAATCAACTGAGATATATATACTCCGTATGCAGGTGTTGAAGATATATTGCTGCATAAGTAAGGGAAGTTTACGATAGAAAAGGTAAAGTCATCAAGTTTATCATTGATCTTGGTTGTTAAATCACCATTAACGTCTTTTTCAAGTAAAATATCCAAATATGAAAAAGATGTGTCCGACTCTGCAGTATCGTTTATCTCAAACTCACTGGGATATCGTATTGACATCATAATGTAAATTGTTAATTGCATTTACGTCGTCGATATAGCTTAATGTCGAGTTAAAGGCCAAAGCCTAGGCTTTCGTATAAATTATGCCTCATTTGAATACAAAAATAGGTCTGCAAGTAACAGGGTGCAGAATGTTTCCAACAATAAATGGATTGAAATAATTCAGCGAATGACTAATGACCAGGTAAATAAATTTATGAATGCCAATTTTTATTTAAAAAGCACCTGTCAATGATATCAAAAAGCATGGAATTTAATTTATTGTGTGGAATTGTTGTGTATAAAGTTGAAAAGTCATAAGTTTTTAAGCTGTTGATTTTCCTGAAATCTTGTGATTTCAAATTGTATAAAAGTTTCATGGAAGATTTAAATATCTAAATCTATATCTGATTTATATACCTTTTCTTTAATATATTGTTGCACAGTACTTTTGAAGTTTTTTTTTCATTCACAAATGTAAATATTATAGTGAGGAGTAAAGAAAGAGGCTTGGCTGAACATTTATTGGAACTCACTCTGTATCATTGTTAAGATTCTTTTCATGGTTTGGAATTTTATATATAAATGATAGTTTGAATTCATTCTGGTTCTTATAATATTAAAAATATACAAAATTAACAGGTTTCTTAAAAATTTCCTCCTTAGTGAGGGAACAATAAGTATAGTTAGGATTACCACTTGCAGTATTAAATCCAAGTTCCTTCAAAGTACAAGTTATATAGTTAGCCATGTAAGTAATGGTTGTAAGCCGAAAACTGTCCATTATGTCAGATATTAGACGACCCGAGGCGCCTTAGCGCCATGGAGAGTCTAATATTTATCCGCATTGCGACATTTTTTTTATATATATATACTACGCATGCGTAAAAGTTAGTTCTAAATTCTTGACAATTTATTCATTTTATAACGCAACGACCACTGAAGACGACAGATATTTTAACTTTGAAAAAAAGACCTTCAGCATCGGGTGTTTTGACGATGCCATTTATCGATTTCACCAAAATGCTTCAGTTCAAGTTTTCTACTGTGAAATCTGGATATATATTCCTATGTTTCGGAATTTGCAAGAAACAGTTTCTCATTCACAGGTAATTTTTCTAAAGCAACAGAATTTCAAGGATTTTACTCCAACCACTCTTCAAGCATTTTTATGAAATTGGGAGATTATTTCTGAATTTTTTATTGCAACAGTTTCTCTTCTGTTCGCAGGTTTTAAACTCGGATTGATTTTACTCCAGCCACTCCTTAAAACAACGGGAGAAACTCGCTCAAACAACGCGGGACTAGGTGGACAAACGGAATTCCGTAAGAGAATTTTGTGTTAAAGGTGGAAAAAATGGATATTTAGATAAGCAACAAGCCTAAGGTTGTGTGTAAGAAAACGCATGCTTCTGAGTCTTCTTTTGTTTCCCTTGGATTCTATATATGTTCCGTGGAAAAATCATCGTAAAATACATCCAACTATAGCAATGACGGAGAACTTAGAAAATTTATGATCGGAGCCGCGGATGCGTCTACAATAATGAATTTAATGCGAGACATTCAATTCACTGTGGATAATTTGTGCCATTTCCAGTAGGATTTTTGTGAAATATTAGCATTTAACGCCACAAATTTCGTACATTATTCATATTTAATTGTTTGATTTGTCATTGCCTTTTAAGTGAAGTTTATTTATTTGCCTTGGCCTTTGTTTTCATTTCAATTTTACCTGTACCTGTCGAATAGGTTGAATCTTATTGGACACCTACAGGTAACTTATTAGACGAGTGCAGGACAATAACGAATTTATTGAACAAGAATTAACAAAAGATGACGTCACAAAAATGATTTAATGATATAATATAATCAGCCTCACAAATGTTGTTACCTGCTTTCTCAGTACGTACTGATTATGTAATCCATCTAGTTCTTTTTTCCCTTCTGGATTATTGAATACAGAATTCTAATTTTTATTGACAAAATAGAATTATCAGGTAAATTTAAATGTTTGTATAAAAGCTGCTGACCCTCATGATTTATTTGAAATCGATGACCTGATGTTGTTTTTTTTAAAATGATCCCCTGGTTACACCAACATAAGCAAGTCCAAACAGATTACATTCTAGCCCGTAGACAACATTAGAAGATTTGTAGTACAGATTTTCGTAGTTCAGATTTTTGATATCAAGAAGATCTATCCAATTAGATTACTGGTGAAAGAAGTGTTTGTATTCATGCAAGATATGAAAATAAAGAACAGTATTTAATCTCAAAATTCCAAAACCAGTACAAAATGAGATCAAAGCAAACATCAGGGATGGGGTCAGGTCCCATGAAGGTGTGAGCATCCCCTTCTGACCGGTCACATCCGCCGTGTGCTCCTTGTTATGATCGGAAAATAACGAGAAAATCCGTCTACAATTCAGTGTGTAGATAATGGACTAACAATTGGTATGAAAAATGTCAGTCAGCATTTGCCAATGATAATTTGCTGACAAGGTCAAAAATTCGTCGTCAGTTCAGTGTGTAGATAATGGATAACAATTAGTATGAAAAACGTCAGTCAGCATTTGATTCAATGATAATTTGCTGACAAGGTCATTGTATCTACAATAAACCTAGTCTGCTCTGGAGAAACAGAACAATCTTAACTTACAGACTTAAAATATCTTCTTACCAATTAGTCTCCCAGTGATAGGTACATGTACATTCAGTGATATTCAAGTAATTATAACAAAAATTTAGTGAAATTACTAATAAAATAACAGTATTTAAGTTCATAGTTCATTCAAAGAACAAAAATAAAGATCAGAGTAAAAACAGACTTTTAATACAGGTGACTTTCAGGAATCATCCCCTGCCGACCGGTCAACCCTGTTATGTGCTCATTGTCATAATCGAGTGAATAGAAAAATCTGTTGACAACTCAGTGTGAAGACAGTCACGGTGGCCTTACAATTTGTATGAAAAAAAAGTTAGTCAACATAAGTCTATTAATAGAACCTTAAAACTTTATTTTCAGTACTTTGTATTTTTGCAGCCTTAAAGGATATATTTAGAAATACGTGATAATATATATTGGGATTTTGGATCATTTTTTTTATGAAAAGCGAGATTCAAAAAATTCTATTTTCGATGCTTAATCCATCGTCGCAAACCACGGCCAAAATGTACGATCTTCTCCCATTCTCGCCGTGGTTGAACGAGGAGAGAATTCTTCGTAGCTCATTAAAATATTGACCAATGCGAGTAAAGCATGGTCGGAAGATGAACTTTATCGCAACCTTTCAATATCCAATCGCAGTAAAGGAAATATTTCTTGTATACTGTTGACGTCAGTTGTGATTTCAATTGCGATGGAAACAAAACTTGCCACTGACTGAATATGACGTCATAATAGAGAGGCGTAAATATTCAAGATTACGACACTTTTTGTGATCAAGCAGCCACGGGTAGGAGGGAGCTATATGCGAACTCCGGACCGTGGCTTGAGACGATGTGCTTAATCAAGAGGCACATTTCAATCAAACAGAAAAATAGACATTTATAATCATTCGTCATGGACACACAAAACATCAACTCAGTTGCCATGGACACACAAAACATAATCACGTCTTACCTTAGAAGGATTGTACAAATATTTATGGTACCACTGCAATATCAAGATGAGCTATCCATAAAAATGTCTGAAGCAAATATTTATATATAGCACTCCAAACAGTATAGTGACTTTAAAGTAATGATTTCTCTAGATGTAATTCAATGGTTGTCCAAAGTTGTATCTTGAACGTGCAATTTACACTGATACTCACGTGAGATAATGGTACCAGCTGTCTGGCTTGTTTAACTTTCAAGGAGACTGTTTGATAAGCACTGTGAAAGCGTGAACAAATTTAATATTTAAAACACATAAAATGCCTTTTTGGTTGTTCGCTGAAAATGAGTTCATTCATTATCCGTTATTTATTTTCAGTAGCCCCCCAACAAAAATGAAATTTAACGAAGCAGTTAAACAACAAAAATTAAAAGTCCACAATGTTTACTTTTCCGCTATTTTTATTCTAGTGATTATCACAAAAACAATATGCGCAGTAATTTTTATCAAATTTGAGACATCTTTGTGGACAACCTCGTTCTACTGCTGGACAAACTGAAAGAGAAAGTGAAAATAGAAATGATAGAAACAGAAACAAAAAACCGTTTTAGTGCACTGGAACCTTTGAACGATATCTATTTTATATATATGAGAATGCATATAACGAAGTATTATTAACATACCATTTTCTTTATCAGGTGTATTCGTTTGGCTATCCGAAACTATTTCTGTTTTGCTTTCTATTGTACAAACGCATTTTGGACAAAAATTTTGATCAAGCTTCAAACACGAAGATTCACAATTTCGAATTTCCTCTGTTATCTTACAGACTGCAAAATACAGGAAGAACAGAAATAAGCCCAGGGGGAAGCATAAAACATGTATAAGTTCTGTGAAAAAAAAGGACACAAAAAGGAAACATATTAGTACCCATTTGAGATGATGTTGGTGCTGTCTCTGTACTAACGTTTGAAGTAATGGCCTCAGTTGTTACTTTGTGTGTCTGTCTGTGAGTACAGGCGCATACGGGACACAAGGCATCAGTCAAAGTTATGCAGTCACTTGGACAGCTAGCATCTAGCGGTGCGCATTCTTAATTTGAAAAAAAAACATGTAATTTCTGACATAATTCTGGTACAATTATTAGATTAAACTTCTTCAAATTTCATTTTTTTTAATCTATTGGATATTTTAATGGATTTTGATGCAATAAAATCATTACCAGTGTGTGACATACTTATATCGGGGTCAGTGGCTTTAAAGGTTTTATTAGAACAGCCACATACAGGGCAGTGTGAGACTGGGTCAATCACGTGACACTCAAGAGGACACGAGGCTCCAACGTCAGCACAATCTGTTAAATAAAAAAAATATATAAAACTGTGTTGTAGTACCACGAAAAAAAAAAAAACTTTATATTTCAAATACCTCGCCGATGGAATACATAACGATTGCAATAAATGACATGGAATACATAACGCTTGAAATAAATGATATGGAAAACATTCTTGAAACATTTTTTTTTGTAATTATTCCGATTCAAAAATCGGTTTTTATAAAATAGAGGTTTCTTACATGAGCTGCTCTATGGAAAAAAATTAATAAGTAAATTTAATTTTAGTAAACATTTAAACATGTAAATTTTTTTTTTTATACTTTTACTCTTTATGTTAAGCTGCTTACTTTTTCCGATACTTTGCCCTCTTTCTGTGTTTTCAGTTTCCTGAGATTTCCCAGACATATATGATACTGGAGGCACTAGAGTTGTCTCCAGTTTTACGTCAGATGAAACGTTTTGAAGACCCGTCACTGGATGTAATGATAGAATGTGCGCTTGTTGAAGTGATGTTTCTGAGGTATTGACTTTATGACCCTTCTCTGATCCGTGTATCATTGGTTCTGTATTATCCATGTTATGTAGATCTCCATTGTTTTCCTCCGAATGATCTTGACCTCCAACGTGAGCTAAAGTGTACAGCACCTCTTGAAGTGATTGATGTTTCTTCATTCCGTCAATTAGAATCCTAAATAAATCCGCTCCTGTTAGATCCATTAAACTTTTTGCACTAGGGTTACTCCCGGTTCTGTTAGTTTCGGTTAACACAGTCAAGCTGGACTTTGAGTCCACATTTCCGCCAATTTTCTCGGGTGTGTTCCCATTTTGACCTTTATTGTTTAAAGTGCCCTTTTGAATATTTCCTTCAGACGTCAATAATGAATTTGTACCAGTCTGTTCTGAAGGTTGGTTCTGGTTTATTTTGATAGCGTTATTCTGATTGGTTGATTGTGTTGAGGTAATAGTTTGACTCTGGTTTATTTTGATACCATTATTTTGATTGGTTGATTTTGATGAGGTTACTTCTGTTGAGGTAGACAGGATTGATGACGTTTTCTGGGAAGGAACAGTTGACGCTGTTGCCTGTTTACTTATGAGAGTTACCGGGCCTTGGGATGATGTACTTTTAGTCATGGTAGATGGCGCTGCAGTAGAGGTAGTAGATATCCTCTCGGTAGGTGGCGCAGTTATTGGCACTTGTAGGGACGATGATGTGCTTTTAGCTGTCGATGTTTGAACTGTCAGAACAAAGTATATAAATTTTATATATTATAGTGTTTTTCACAAACACATCTTGTTTTACTCAATATTTCTCATAAATGTCTACCATAGAGGTGAAAAGTAACCGGTTTATAGCGTCAACTGGTTATAATGTTAACCGGTTTATAGCGTCAACTGGTTAAAATGTTAACCGGTTTATAGCGTCAGCTGGTTAAAATGTTAACCGGTCTATAGCGTCAGCTGGTTAAAATGTTAACCGGTTTATAGCGTCAACTGGTTAAAATGTTAACCGGTTTATAGCGTCACCTGGTTAAAATGTTAACCCGTTTATAGCGTCAACTGCAGCTGGTTAAAATGTTAACCGGTTTATAGCGTCAGCTGGTTAAAATGTTACCATCTACCTTCACAATCACAACGGAAACATCCGCTAAAACCGTCTGTCTTCCAGCACTGTCCCGGGCATGCATAGTTCAGCTCCGGGCACCTTCCTGGTAAAGCAAGGCCAGCAGGTCTGTAAAACTCTTCAAACAGTTTTTAAATAAAATCAATGTTCTTCAAAATCAATTGTTAAAAAAAAAACTGTAATATAAAAGCTTCGACATTTAAACATGATAATTTGAGAGAACGGGGTATTAGAGATACCTTCAAAGCGGATTACTGTTAATGGGTGGACCTTTTGAAGAACAAATATTATCAGAAAAAATATATATGACACTTAAACAGGCTACTGATCCGTAATTATAATTTCTAATTTATGTAAAAAATAAAAGCACTAAAAAAAGATCAATTCCTGAAATCAATCAGAAAAAGAGTATTAACAAGACCATCAACATTTACTAAAGCAAACTGAATAGTTCATATGCTTCACAGAGATTATACCTTTAAAGTCGGGTTCGAGATACTGCCCCTTTTGTTCGATAGAGGACGCTGCACCCATCATAGGCCCACCAAACGAATTAGCGCCAAATGTTCCCATGCCTAGACTCATCCACGGGGACTGAGCGGAAGTCTGTTTTTGTTCATTCGAAGGGTGACTTGACCCCATGTTTCCGGTGAGATATCTACTTCCTGTTTGATAAATCGGGTCATAATCGTGCTTCATTTGTTGTATAGCTCCTTCCATATACGTGTTCATGGAATCTGTTTCAGGGGTAAAATGGTAGCATCAACGTGAAATATATGAACATTGCAGTTGTTTGGACAAAAAAACCCCTAATGTTTCTTTACATAGCAAAAAAATAGGTAAACTCGAATTTTCAACTGTTGGGCTAAGATGCCCCCTCTAAATCATATATATGGTCTTTCGGCCCGGGTCCGACGCCTGAGACAGCATGTACATTTATCTATCGCAGTGTAATTAAGTTTGATGATTATTTCCCTAACATTCGACTTTTACCTCCACACTCGCAGATATAGCATCCATCTTTCACCTTTAAACAAAACTGGGGACACATCACAACCGCCTCACATTTCGAGGTCTTCCGCCGAAACAAAATACTTCCTGTCAATAACGAAAATGAAATTCTTCGTTGATATATATATCGCAGAAACATTGTCAACTCGGCGTTAAACAATATATAATCAATCAGTATATATCGCCAGACAATATATACAAGTATTCAAATTGTAATCTTAGTTTATTTCTAAAATAATACAATATCAATAAAACAATATAAAATTCAAAAGAGAATTTAAAAAAAAAACAAATTAAAATAATAAATAAATCTTATCTTCCTACTATGTGATTCTGCATATCACTCACTCATAATAAAACATTAAAAAATAATTGTAGGAAAAAAAGCAATCTTAGTTTCCTTCATTTGATTTGCTAAATAATGCCTTAAATCGATTTAAAGCTACCTGTCCTTAACAACTACCGCAAATTAATGATATATTGATGCAATCTTAAAAACATTTATTTGGATGCTTTCATATTTTTTCCACAGAAATTCTAATTCTCAATTTCACTGCAAAATATTTGAAAAAAATTCACAAACCTTCTAAAGGTGGAAGCAGAATACACAAAAGGCCAAAAGTAACAGTCCACATCATGAAAATGTAGTCGTTAGTAAAACTTCCCCCTAGCCTCAAGCATATATTTTCATCCAAATTGGGGGGAATTCTCTTTCATAACATGTTTTCAAACAAAATTTAAGTTAAAACATCTTGACTGACTTCTTTAAAAAGAATACTGTATTAGGATTCTATGTTTAGTAATGATAATACACGAAAATTTGATAAAATTACCTAAGGCGCATGCGTGAATTTATGAATGGGAACGTAAATATTTTCACCTGTTGTCCACTCGGATAATGTTAGATAAGCGTTGATCATATGTTGTTCAATGAAATGCACATACCAATCGTGATGTATTTTTAACGAAAAAGATATGATCCCGACCTTTAAGAGGTAACATCGTTAAATTTTGCTTATGAATTTGAGGACCTTGTTATAACCACTACGACTCACATGGTATAAATACCTCGGAATGAATACTCGGAAGTCTCTGGTTTTATCGTACATCTATAACCCCAACCGGAAGTTAATGTATCTTATAAGATGTCTTAATTTTTATCGAGGTAATTTTTGATGAATAAATGAGTGGTTTATAAAGAGGCT